TTCTTCTCCTTCATGCGGGTCCCGCCGACCCTGTAGATGTCAACAGAGACGGCTCCACGTTGCGGCCCTATCCGTCACTGGCGCCATGCGCATGCGTCATCTGCCGGTCATGGCGCTCCACTCCGTCCTGGCGGACATTGTGGTGAACTGGCGCGCCTGTCAGTGTTCGTACGAGGGTTAGGCAGAACAGCACCGGTACGCCCGACGTTGTTCTTGATGTGAATCCTCAGGTATGGCCCGTCGTGGCCGCGGGTTACATCGGGGCATGCCGGTCTCTCTCCTTGGTGTCAGAGTTTTGACCCAGGCCCATACGCTTGGACCTGAAGTAGTTGGCGGCGGTATGAGTCCCCGTCGGGCGAGACGGAGCCCGCACCCAAGGAGTCTGGCGAGCCGAAGCCCGCGGTCTTGGGGTTGGGTGAGGCGGAGCACAAACCCAAGGGTTGGGCGAGGCGGAGATCGCGGCATCGGGGTCGGGCGAGGCGGAGCCCACGACCTCGAGGTCGGGTGAGGCGGAGCCCGCCCCCGAAGGTCGGGCGAAGCGGAGATCGCGGCCTCGGGATAGGGCAAGGAGGAGTCCGCCCCCGGAGGTCGTGCGAGGCGGAGATCGTGGCCTTGAGGTCGGGCGAGGTGGAGCCCGCCCTCGGAGGTCGGACGAGGCAGAGCTCGTGCACCCGGGGGTCGGTTAGAGCTATAAGCGCGCTCTTGACTGCTCGGTTGAATCAATGTTGATGATCATTAGCTCTTCCTATTCGGGTACCTTAGTATTGGTCCCCGACACATGTCATGTTATCTGTCTAATGGTGCGGAACATGCAGCTGAACCTCTGAAAAGATACAGCCAGGTTTCAGCGAGCGGGTCAAACCAAAATTCAGTGAGACATTGCGGTGCTTGCTAAATAAAAAGCACTCCATACAAGGCAACGTTTAGCAGAGCTTCATTATTTGATTTTTACATTTGTTTTTTTTATTCTCTAGTGATTTTGATTAATTCTAACAAAGAAGCATGTAAGAATTAATTTTAGAGTAATTCTGGTGGAGATTCAATAGGAGCAGTAAAGAGCGGGATTTTTTAAGCTCCCAACTTCCAATGTGATGTAAATGGAGGATGTTTGTTCCCATCAGAATCTGTGCGTGGATTGCTTCTCAAAAAAAAAAAAAAAAAAAGTGGACTTTTGTTGTTTGGCTAAGAAGTAGTGATTCTCACATAAAATCTACTAAAGAAGCGCCACCAAACGGCCCTTATGTATATATAAGAGTGTTTTTTTTTAAAAGGCGTAAGAGCTAGCTAAAAGAATTAAAATACATGGAAAATATCCCCTAAAAGTGTAATAACTCGATTCTAGAGCTCAGCATAGCAATAACGTAAAAGCGGCTCACATTGCCAACACACGCCTATCGATCATCAGGAAGGTGCACAAGCGTGTAGATGATTTTTTTCCCTCTCATGATTCGAATTTGTATCTCCACACGCACGCAGCCGCAACATTTGAGCCAAAAAGGCTGCGACGATCCGATGGGATCGGCTTATTTTTTCAAATTTGAAATGGTTGGACAGTAAAACAAATATGTTTTTCAAAGGTTTGATACAAATTTCGCATCACAATTTGTATCTCCCAAGTCCTGCACAGCAGCCGAGCATCTTTTCTTTTTTGATTGAAAGCTCAGCAGATGAGCATCTTTCCAGCTCGCAAATACGCTCCTGCCGCGACGGTAGCGTGATAGGATCAGATCAGACAAGACAGTTCATGGCAAAGCACCACGGCCGAATGCAGCGCACCTCCTAAACACGGCCGAATGCAGCGCACCTCGACCGCCTGTGGTTCTGGGCTCTCTCTCTCGCGCGCCGTCGTCTGTCGCGGGCACGGGCGCCCCCACAACACACCACACCACACCACACGGCACACGGGAGCTTCGGGCCGTTTCCACCGGGTGCCGCAGCGCGCGGCGTCGAGGGAGGGAGACGCCCAGCCAGGGTCGTGCATGTGCGTGGCGCGAGGAAGATCTGCCCCCTCCATGTCGCGCGCGCCTCCCCTCAACCCTCTACCCTTGCCCGTGGATCGCGTGGCCGCGTCGCGGTCGCCGCCGCAACACGCACGCGAGTCGTGGACGTGAGGGCTGGAGGCGTCTCCGGGACACGCCGGCGTGAGCCCATGTGCCGCCAACCCGTGCACGGTCCGCGGCAGGGGGGTTGGACTGGACTCGGTGGAAAAGGGTGACGGCTGACGGGTCGGTGGAGGGAGCATACGGATATGGGGGAGGGAGAGGACGGTGTCAGGGCTCCGCGGTGTGGCGTGGAGATAGTGATTGCTCGGTCAGTTGTGGTGTGATTAGCTGCTGCTGGTCAGCTGCTGGTAGGTTTGTCGGCGTGCGAGTTGGACTCACACCACTCGCTGACAGGCACCTGCCTAGCACGCAGCACCCTAGCTAAGAGAGCCTGGTGCAACGTACGTCTAGTTTGAAACGCCAATAAGCTGTTTCGCTAACACATTAGCTTAAATTCGATGAAAATTATTTATACTGAAAGACGAAAGATCAACAAACAAACAAAATAAAACAAGGAAGGAATGCACTCTACGAGCAATGCGAAGAGTGCAGAATATATACTTCGTCATGATGTAATGGATGAGAATAGCACGCAAGCAGCCGAGGATCCGCCACGTCTACAAACGAAATGGCCCGAATAAGTACCACATGTTTCTGTATGCTTCGACTAAAATAAAGTGAAGGTAGAGATCTATCTATTCAAGACAAAATCACAAATTATTGGGACAAGCTGTGCATTGTAGTAGGTGTAGTAGTATACTTTTTTTGGGCGTCTGGGCATACACAGCTCAAGTTCCAATGCTGATTAGTTATTTAACTACGTACACTATTTGATTAGTCTTCATCTTAATCTGTACAGTACACTCGATCCAAAGAGCATAAAATAGGCTGTGCAGGAGGCACCGACCCACCTTTTTTGTCCATGAGCATTGAGCAAGCTACTACCGTATTATTCCTCATTAGGCAAGGTTCCAAATCAGATGGAGCCGTACTCACTCCAGTGCTTTCAGTGTAAATATGCTATGCTAATGTAATCAGCCTGGTAAACATAGTACTGCTAACAAAAGTCTTTCAAATAGGAAGGAGGTCCCCACTCCAATTAACGCTATGGAATGTTCCAATGAGAAAAGTCGAAATTAAATAGGACCGGACCGCATGGAAAATGTTGACAACGTAACGCAGTGTCACACATATACGGTGTTAGAATAGTATTCATTTTTCAAGCATATTAGTACTACCCTGTCTTAGTTTCGCAAAAAAAAGTACTACCCTGTCTTTCTAGAGTTGTCTTAAGTAAATATGAATAAATTTCTAGAGTTGTCTTAAGTTAAAGTTTTTTATATTTAACCGAATTTATATAAAAGAGTACACATGTTCATGATCCCAAATGAGAATATTGTAGAAAATATATCTAATGATATTAATTTGGTTTCTACATTTTTTTCCTATAAAGTCAAACATGAAAAGTTTGACTTAACAAACTCTAGAAAATAATTTGTTGGGGGAGAAAGTAGTAATATTATGGAACATTGTTCTTTGACAATAAATTTTCTCTTCCACCTTCAGTCCTCCTTCACACATATAACATTTTTCGATTTTTCATGCTAGATCCCATGTATCTAGTCATAAAGAGCAGAGGAAAGAGTTCCATTGTACTACAAGGTACTCCATCCGTTCCAAATTATAAGTCGCTTTAACTTTTTTGGTACATCCATTTTATCATGCGTCTAGATACAATATATGTATAGATACATAGCAAATTCTATGTAAAAAAAATCAAAGCAACTTATAATTTGAAATGGAGGGAGTAGTTTTTTTTAGCGGAGATAAGCTTTCCAATCCGTCCCCCCCCCCCTCACACGCACACACAACAAAAGTTAACATTCTCATGTTCAAAATTTGTCATACTAAAAACTTTTCATTCTAGCTCACTAAGATATAATAAGTCCATCCACATGAATTCAGTTCAGTAATTAGACACAAAAAATGACAGCTAATATGCACGCCAGCATGTAGGTCTATATGTTGTTATTGTGCAAGGACCAAGGTTAGCAAGTGAGAGTATAACACGTACATTAACCGTGATAGATCCCACGTGTTGTATATAGAGATAAATAGCACAGGAAAGATTTCGTTCGACGGGTGTCTCTGTGATGCCATTCCTGGCATCTAGTATGGCTAATTGTTTGAACAAATCATAACAAGTTCGATCTGGTCCAAATTTGACAATATAAGAAAGCAAAGGTTGTGCTTTTTTCGCGAACAAGCTCATGGTGCCTGTTTTTCATTAAGAGGAAAGAAAGCGATTGTTGTGCTTGTGCACGCATCGCAAGCTTAGACGCGTTGTTTTAGTCCTGGAACCGAAGATGCAGTAGATCTCGAAAGATATGGCTCACTTATCAGGACCATTGCACCTACTACCAGCTCTCCTCCCATTCAAAGAAAAGCCATATAGGAAAGTCAACCAGTAGTACTTGGCTTGTGCTGCTTGTTGCTCGCCTGTGCTCTGGTCCTGAACCACAGCCCCAGCCCCAGCCCCAGATTACAAAGATCTCAAGAACAGCCATACGAATCTTGACGTGCCCCAAACTGCCAACCCACAACTGTACGTACACATCTCATCACCCACATTGCTGCGGTCTTCCGTGCCTCCTCGTAATAATAATCATCATCATACTAGGCGTTTGATCTGCATCCCAGCAAGGAACTGAAAGATGTTTACAGCTCATATATCCCCGGCACTGGCATACTAGATCTCTCTCCTCTCGACCTCCCACGTAGCATGCACACAACACAGCTGCAGCTAGCTCAAAGAGCCACATGCCTATAGTAGACTAGTCTTAGTAGCTAGCTAGAGAGAGAGGGAGAGGGAGAGCAGAAGAAGCAACAAGAAGAGAAGAGAAGGCAAGAAGAGGTTAGGCTAGCGGAGAGGAGAGGAGGAGAGCCGGCCGGCGCACAATGGATCAGCAACAGCACCAGGAGCGGCCGCGGGAGGTGTACCGGGAGTGCATGCGCAACCACGCGGCGAAGCTCGGGACATACGCTTCCGACGGATGCTGCGAGTACACCCCCGACGACGGCCAGCCCGCAGCGATGCTCTGCGCCGCCTGCGGCTGCCACCGCAACTTCCACCGGAAGGCGTTCCTGGACGCCGCGGCGGGGGCGCACGGCGGCGGCGGCGGCGGCGCGCACGGCGCAATGCTGCCCTCCCACGGCGTGTCCCCGGGCTACGGCATGCACCACATGGCGATTACCATGGGCGGTGACGCCGGCGGCGCGCACGGCGGCTCCGGGGACAGCAGGCGCCGGACGCGGACCAAGTTCACGGAGGAGCAGAAGGAGCGCATGGCGCGGTTCGCGGAGCGGCTCGGCTGGCGGATGCCCAAGCGGGAGCCCGGCCGCGCGCCGGGGGACGACGAGGTGGGCCGCTTCTGCCGGGAGATCGGGGTCGCCAGGCAGGTCTTCAAGGTATGGATGCACAACCACAAGGCTGGTGGTGGCGGCAGCGGGGGCGCGGGCGTCGGTGGAGCCGCGCAGACTTCGTCGTCCACGACGCGTGGCGGCGGCGGCGGCGGTGGCGTTGTTGGAGGAGGCGGGAGCATGTCTCCGGCGATGGGCACCGATATCGAGGACGACGAGGAGGTGAGGGGCAGCGAGATGTGCATGTAGGCGGCAATGGCGTATGGCCTCGCCCTGGCGGCGATCGATGATTAACACCTCCTTTTGCTGCTAATTCCTTTGGGTGATTTTGCTTCGATGAGTTGATGAATAATTGTTGATGCTTGATGATGAGATATTCATTGTTATCACGGCTCTGCTAATTAATGCTGTGTCATTTGATCATTCAGTCATTGATATGTTCGTGATCTCTTGCCTTCTTGCTAACTATCGCCATGAAATTTAAGTTCGGTGACAAACTTGAACTGGGTGCTTTAATGAACTCACTACAAAATCCCCGTTCAGTACATGCATGCAACAACTGCTTGGAGGTTTACATGAACTCACCTCAGAAGGGGGTTAGTTTCTCGGCTTCATCAGTAACCACTATTAATGGATCAGAATGACTTTGTATAAATATCATTATAAGTTGCATTTATGTTTACTCCAAACATACTAGATTGCTACATAAAATTCAATGTGCCCCAACAAGAAGACAGAAACATGTAGCCGGGAACAACAGGTGAGGATGCCATACCAAGTGAACTAATCGTACCTAACATATTTACATCAGTACATACAAGCATGTATACAATTTTCAGGAAAACTGAAGAGGTGCTGACTGAAAGAATTATGACAATTAGAAACTAAAGAGGACTATTCTACCCCCCCATTTTCTTGGAAATGTTGTGCACACGGTTGGTTGAGGGTGTACTCTCTCCATCCCAAAATACATGACCTAATAGGCTAATAGCTAATAGCATTCAAATTTTGTCTCAAAAAGTTATCATTCTCACTTCCCAATGCATCTTTCTCTTCTCCCATTATACCCTTCTTTTTTCAAAATACATCACCATCTCTACATTTTGAGGGGCATTTTAGTCTTTTACCTTCTGCACTGGTCACCGTCAAAGAGTCTAAAAACGTCAACTAATATGGGACGGAGGGAGTAGATGTATACCTATACCATTCAATAGATGTATATTTATTTTTAACATAAATCCATCGTAGTTACATTGTTTTTTTTAAATGTCTCAAATAGTTTATACTCCATCCATTCTAATTATAAGATATTTTGGCTTTTCTAGATACAATATTTTTTCTATGCATTTAGATATACAATATGTCTAGATACACAGGAAAACAATACATCTAAGACAAACAAAATATCGTATAATTTGAAACAGATGGAGTACATCTGAAACTGCTACTTCTCATGTGTGTTGGCACATTTGCTAACCCGCATTTTTCAGTCCCTCAGAGATGACTTATATGCTTCTACGGTTGTACTTTTGCTGTGTCATTTTTTAGTATGCTTTAATTAGTTATGCGGTTATCTCTCTATCCAAAATAACTATAAAAATTAAGTGGACACAAAGAACTACATAAAAGGTAACAAAACCCTAGCGTGGAGATTTTTCTTTTTCTTTTTTTAACGCCATCCATATGTTATCATGAATGAGCATCGAGTGAGGTCTTAGTCTTACATTAATTATAGTTTAACCACACACGCGCAAATAACGGTATGATCTACACAGTAACATGAACTATGAGGTAGAAAATTATGGTGCCTAAACGACTTAGAGGTTGTTTGGATGCTATCTTCCTAGACATGTTCATGCCTAGGCAGCCATCGCAACCTATAGTGGACGTGCTGGTGTTAGGCGAACTCGTCTGAGGTGGAACCAAACAATCCCTTTAGAGCACAACCCAAGCAATGTAAGGTTCAAATTCAAGAAATTTGTGCAATGCAATATATTTCTCACTTTACTGAAGGTCAATTACGTTGCTGTGTTCGTGCAATTGATGCTGAGATATCATGTCATTTTTTAACTAATGAAATGGAACTCACCACTCATTACAACCTATGCACTTCTGCCATTTTTACAGAACGGTGCTTCTTTTTTGTCACTCGCATGCACTTTTAGGTGCAATACTCCTGAAAGTCTACATCTACGTAGCCATTAAGCTCAAAAACATGTGACGGGCGCACACACCTTGGACGGAGACATAAAGAGGGTCTCGGGTACATCGCGCCTTCGCTGTCTTGCTCCTGCAGCCTATTGACACGCCGTGTCCCTGTTCGCTTGAACTTATTAGCCGTATCGTTTTAATAAAATAACATTGTTTTTCTCTTACAACGAATCAGCATCAGCCGTTTTTTCAGTCAGCCTCCAAACAGAGCGACCCATGTCCCTAATCCACATAGGATCTGAAAATGTGACAGCGCGAATCCAACGCTCACCCCCCTGTGTCACACTGAGAGAGAGCTCCACGGCCGACTGAGATCCGCTACTACTCTGCAGCGAAAAACATGATGTATACGGACAGCACCGTCCCAAATATACGTACGTGCTAGGAGTAGTAGTATATATATACGTACAAATGTGAAACGCACGACGAAGTCACTCGCAGTCAGGACGCGGGTCCGAATGAACGGATCCCTGCAGCTCCGGTCCTTGGGACCCTCCACCACGCGACAGGTACACACGTACTCCAAGAGTCAACGTCCATGCTAAAGATACCTGCGTCGCCGCAGGAAAAAGGTGCAGGCGTGACATATTGACACGAGGCCGTAAGGCCGTATAGCAGCAGGCAGCAGCGATGCAGCGCTGCGAAAGCCGGCTCGTGCCACGGCCACGGACCTGCTGCCAGTAGCTACCGCCGGGCCGCTACGCGCCACCGCCGCGACAGGCTTACCCACACGACGGTGTCAGGACACGGACAGGAGGCGGTGACACTGGTAGTAAGCACGCACGGTGCGCGCGGAACCGGCAGCGCCGTGCCGCGCGCCTTCACGCTGCCGTTACACGATCCCCGGTTTCGGTGGGCGGGTTTGGCTGTGGCGGCCTGGCGGGGCTCCGGGCTCCGGCTCGGCTCTCCTTTGATTCCATTTCGTCGCGTCGCGTCGCGTCATGCTCCCATGCCGCGGCCCGCGGGGCAGGGGCAGTGCGATCGGTACGGCGGATTCGCTCCCCCGCACTTGGCGCGACGTGCGCTCACGCCGGAACAGTGCTGCTGCCGCGGGAGCGGGACGGAGTAAAAAAGATCGTGTGCGGCTGCACCTGGCGGCTGGCGCGTACCGGCGGCCGTGGCGTGCAAACGCAACGCAGGTTGCAGTGTGCCCGTGCGTTGCGTGCCATCCTCGATTCCTCATTGGTCTGGCTCTGGCCCGTTTGCCCATTACTGCCTGCCGGGTACGCTGCCCTTCTACTCCTACGCGGTCTCCCGTCCGTCTCCCTGCTGGCCGTCGGAGCAACAGGAAGGACCACCGATCCCCGCCGGCCGCCGGACGGCTGCTCCACAAGATCTGGGAGATCCTGTGAGTGACGACGACCCTCCCCTCGTTTCCCTCGTAAAAATGTCTGGGCGGCGGCAAAGCTGAGGGCGATTCAAGAAGCCGCCAGGTGCCACTTTACCTTTACGTGAGCACTGCCGGTGTTGAGATGTTGTTAGAGCATTAGCAAAAGGTCACGCCTTACTTAAGGGTTAGGCTCTGAAGGGCACCCTAAACATCAATAAGAAGAGATGTTCACGGATGAGTGCTCAGCAGTACTTGTTTCTCATTGCTGAATGTTGGGATAGCTACTCCCTCCATTCCGATTTATTATATAGTATCAATTTATTTTTGTCCTAACTTTAACCAAGTTTTTCACGAAGAAAATATTAACACATACAAGTTCAAAATAATGCACTATAGAAACACATTTAATAGTGAATCTAATAAAACTAATTGAATGTTATAAGTGATGATGTATTTTTTTCTATGAACTTGATCAAAGTTAGACAAATTCAGTTTAGAACAAAGATAGGTGGACTTATAATTTGAACGGAGAGAGTACCTTTAAAGACTTGCTTAGAGCAACCACCTCACCCACAAAACACACTTTTTATTTTCCTCAGAAAGTGTCGAAGGTGGTAATATATGTACGAGGGATCATGTGAGATCCATTATATTCTCTCTCTCTCTCTCTCTCTAAATAAATAAATAACATTGTTGTTCCTTAAACATGCACAGGAGCGTAGCTGATCGATGGAATTCAGTGCGTAGTGAAGTTTTTGGGCGATGGACATTTGAGAAGACACGACCCTACCATCGAACGGTAGGATCCTCGATATTCCTCACCCGCTACGATGATCTGATAGCGAAGCCTGAAAGGACCTGTCTGTTTGGCTTTTGCAGCTGTATGGCAGGTGCGCTGAGTCACATAAAAAGAGAGGGGGAATCCTCGCCCCCTCCTGATTCACGATGAAATGCAACCACTTTACAGTCTTGAGACTGCATATGAAAACTGCTATCCACTTTGATCGCGTTGGCCTCGGGTACACCGTTACAGATTATTTGCAAAATTCTCCACAAACAAATGTGAGCTAACTACACCAAAAACAAACAAACAAAAATCCTCTCTTGGTGTTACATGAGATGCTATCTCGCAGCATATCTGCATATAGATTGTTCAAGTGTTATTTTCCTAATACAACAATGCTGTTGGCAAGTTTTCTAACTATCGTTCACCTTGAAGAATGTGTACGAAAGAACAATATTGTTGATCCCGTCCATTTTGGGGTCTGTCTCAAACTCAGGATCGATATAGAAGAATACCTGAGAATTTCACGAGCATTTGTCGTCAAAACATAGTGCACAAATAGTAGTAGATAACAGTCAGTATGCAATATTGCTTAGCAAACTAAACTTACTGGCATGTCAATCTGTTCTCCAGGAAGAAGTGTTTGCTCCTCAAAGCAGAAACATTGTATCTTATTGAAGTAAATCGCAGCCTGCAGGATAAAAGGTAAAATACTGCTGTAAACTCAGACGAACAAGTGAAAACTTCTATTAGCTAATGACATGGTTACTATTCTCAAGCTCAGTGCCTCTGTTCCATAGCAACATGAATAGACAGACAATTTCGCAGCATCTTATCAAAAGTTTTGTATTCTCAAATTTTCTCTTTGGTGTTTGACATGCAATTTCACAAAACCAAAAATATATTGTCTCGAATTTTCATCTGTCAACATCTGATCTAACTTCAAAGCAAAACGGAACAGGAGTGTGCATAATAAGTTGATAACCTCCAAACACCATTCCTGTGGCTCTGTATTTGCCCACAAGTCTTGCTTCCCAGGACATGCCAATATGCTTTAGGGTGAAATTGTGCATCATTATTGATAAGTCATTTGATTCAAAACAATGGTGTGCTTTATTTCATACTGAGATTTTGCAGGTGTACAGAGACAGTAAAGCATCCATTAGTTCTGACAGGCAAACGGAACAAACAAAGTCAATTTGACAGACTTGGTCAAATATTCGAGACTTAAGCAGCCTGATAAGCCTATATAATCTTCAAGGAATGAAGGATGTCTACTGAAACTAATATCCAGAAAATAATATAAAAAATCTGCTACATGCATCTGGTTACAATATATCAATGACATCCTTATCACCCACTACAATTTGTTCCATACGAGAATGCTCTCACAAAAAGGGTGTACTCATGGAAGAAGAGTGTTACTTACACCTAGCATAAACTATAGAATATTGCCAGAAGGAAAATGCTACATTATTGAGTAAACCATAGTATAGTAGTAAACAGTGTTGTGCCAAATTGACCAAACTATCACACAACATTTCTAAATCAATGATAATGTCATTAGCTTCCAAGAAGAAACAGCAGGTATATCCGTATATGTGAATTACGTTAATAGTAACGAACGGAACCCAATTGCAATTTCAAACCTTCATAGGAGCAACATTATATGTGGATACACCAGTAATTGGAGCTGAACTGCGATTCTCAGCAGTATAAAAAGCCAGAGCACTTTCACCAGGTTTAACTCTGACCTAAAATAAATGAAATAGGACCAGAATAAGTATACATACGACAGAAACTGCTCAATATCTGGACTTGAATCCCAAATATTACCTCTCTCTGTGTAGGGATGAACTTCCACGGCATTCCATCAGCAACATCAGCATTAAATTGAACAATTATTTCTCTGCAAGCAAAATGAATGCCTTGATTCTAAAACGAATGAAAAAACAAAGTGCAAGAACAACAATAAACTCTAAAAAAGCACAACAGCAGAAATACAGATATCATCAGTGCATAAGCTCTAAGCATGTAAAATAAGCAGCGGGGAAAAAGGTCGATTTACTTCATTAAATCATAAGGGCATTGTATTTCAAAGGCCATCTCCGTTGCATTTAAGGCCCAGATCAGTTTTTAGGTAACCCCACCATATATCAAATAAAAAATCACAATGCAAGTTTCCTGAGCGGCTGACTTCCGCTCATCCCCAATCTGGTGCCACCCCCACCCACATCTGTCTCCTCCGCATCCTCCAGCGCCGCCTACACTCCGACCTGCATTTACCACCTCCACCCCCTCCAGTACCACCCCATCACAGAAACCCTGCTTTGCCCCCCTCCACCGCACGCCACACGCCACAGCCCAGATGTCGCCTCCTGCCCCCATCCCAGCAACGCTAGCTCCGTCCCCTCCACCACTCTCTCCCGATCCGACCAGCGACCACCACTACCGTGAGGGCCACCACAAGCACCGGTGACCGTGGTGGGGGGAGGTGCCAATGCCATCCCCAAACACGCGATGGCAACTGCAACATAGGCAAACTCAATAATTTAATCCTTGAGGTTGTGGCCTTGGCTTGAGGTCTGGCTTTAAAAATTCTCTACTTAGAACCTCCTTAGAGTCGACCCTGTTATGTATTAGGTCGACCCTAACTTCCTTAGGACCTCCTTATTCCCAACACTCCGGATGCCCTAAGGAAACTAGGCATATGTTCGCTCAAGTTATACAAGAGCTAGCATACGATTAAAGCACACTATCATCGTAGGAATGAAATGGTCATCGAGAATGTACCAACTTAGCCTTTACCATAGCATGGCCTACATATCTTTTCACTGGATCTTGTAAGTCCTGCGCTGTCATATAAGCTTAACTTTTGAAATCGAAGTACATGTGACCATAAACACTGTTAAACAGACATCAAGGAAAGAAAGTCACAGTGCCATGTTTGAGACGTAAAAGAAGATTCTAATTTACGCAACTGACATCTAGCTGAAAGCACACGATTGTTTTTAGCGTTTCCACAAAAGTAAGGCCTTTTTTTATCTTTCAATCAAAATAGTGTTCCCAAGAAACTAAGGTCTTTAATGGAGCGTTCAGAATGGCATCCCAGGGCAAAACTAAGGTCTTTAATGGAGCGTTCAGACGAAACTATTTCGTTGAATAATTGGTTCAGTAATACAGTGTTAGTTCAGGAACATGAAATAACTAAAAGAGTTAAATACACTGGCGCCCTTAAACTTGTGGCGCTGTGCCACTTAGGTCCATGAACTCTCAAAATCGAAATTTGACTCCCTAGACTTGTTAAGCGGTGCACCGCAGGTCCATACCCATTCAGGAGGCCCTGATTAGGATAATTTTTTTACAAAAAACACCCTGCTATAAACATGTTCTACGTCTGGCTGGCCACGGCACTCGCGACCCGCCGTCCGTCTCCCTCGCCCGTGGCGTCCGCGGCCGGTCATCTCCCTCGTGGTGCTGTCATAGGCATCAGACGTGCGGGGGCGGGTGCTGTCACAGGCTCACAGCACGCATCGGCAGTAGTGGGCTTCTCCTTCTCCCATGCCTCCTGCATGCGGTTCGGGAGGGAGCTGCCAGACACGAGCAGGAGCTTTTCCCACGACCGCTGCTGCACGGGATCGCGGCCGGCGTGCGCCTCTAACGCCAGCAGCGACACGACGGCGTCGCAGCAGCCACAGTGGACTCCCGTCCTGGTGACCACGCCCGAGACAACCTTGCCCTCGCTGCTGTTCACTGGCACGTAGAACACCTTCTCTCTGTCGGACAGGAAACCGGTGTCGATCAGCCATGTCAGTATGGTGCGCCTCTTCACTGTTGTCGTTGCCGCCACGACCGTGCTCCTCCTCCTAGCGACCACATTGCGCCTGCTGCCGCCGCTCGGCGAGGCCGCGGCGTTCTGCTTCCTTCTCCTCCTGTTGCTTGGCGTTGGTAGCGGTAGAACAGGGACGATCTGAAGATCGTTGCTAGCAGCGGCTGCTTCTCAATGACGAGGTTTTTCGCGTTGGCGGCGGTGATCGTGTCCTTTCTACTGCCGTTCGCTGCCGCTGCTTAGCGGCGGCCCTCTGCCTAGGCGCTTGGACGACTCCGGCTTGCTGTTGTCCTTGTCCTTGGGCGCACGTTTCCTGACGCGGCCATTCACCGCAGCAGCGACCTCCCCTCCAACCGTGGTCGGCATGGTGAGCACAGGCCATAGGGGGAAGGCGTTGCACCATGCCATCTGTTGCTGACGGTGCCCTCTTCTTCCTGGCTAATCCGGTGGCAGTCGTGGCAGCATCAATAATCTGATGACGCCAGCGACAGCACTGCCGTGGACGACGACGACACAACGGCCGGCAACGCTGCTCCCACTGGCTCCTGGCGCCCCAGAGGTGAACTATGCGACGGACGCCGTGGGCACGCAAGCTCCGGGAGCATGCTGCTGTACCATGGCGTCCGCGACCTCTGGGACAGCATCATGTCCACGGAGGCGTGGCTGGCCGGGCATCCCGGCAGGGCCAGACCGATCCCATTTTCTCGCGCCGCCGCGAGGGAAGCGGCGCCGGGGACCACGCAGGTGGACGGCCGGCCATGAGGGAAGCAACTGCGAGGGAGAACATGTTCACATCCCGTTTTCGTGAGGAAACAGACGGCCGAACGCCGCCGTGCGCGAGGGATACGGAGGTAGAACATGACTTGGGGTGCTTTTTGTAAAATTTCATCCTAGTCAGCATCTCTCGAAGGGGTATGGACCTGTGGTGCACCACTTAACAAGTTCAGGGGGTCAAATTTCGAGTTTGGGAGTTCGTGGACCTAAGTGGCACAATGCCACAAGTTTAAGGGCCGCCGGTGTATTTAACTCTAACTAAAATCCAAAAACTGGGTATTCCCATGTTCAGCCAGGCTCACCGCGATGATGTAGTTCCGTCTCGAGCATGCCGCGAGATCTTCTCCTCCACACTCTGCATAGAGTACAAAAACACTCAAGCTCATGAATCCGAACGCTCACACTGGATATAACATCGTACCAAACTTTCAATGGGTTAATTATTTCTAAGGCAACTCCTAGTTGCTTAAGTATAAGCCACATTTCTGAACAATTGCATGAAGTTAGAGTTAGATATAGACATACCTAAGTTTACTCAATGGTCAAGAAATTGGCATACCAAGAATCAGGCAGCAAATAAATAGCACAAACATACAAATTTCAATCAATTCCACAAACAAATTCACAATAATTATGTCTCAGTGATGTCTAAATATATGCATCATCTATGTCAGCATTCACCCAGGAAATGAACCAGAACAATAATGTCTTTTAAGAAAAATTAAGGAGCACATTCCTGAGTTACATTAGTGTACAAACACCAGTGTGCATGGAGTGCAAGATAAGATGGGACATTCCATTTCTCTGGGGGAAAATGAAAACTTGCCAGTCCCACCTTCACCATTTTTTTGGTTTGGCATATTTCCATTGGCTTGATTTGCTACCATGTTCTTTAAAATAGTAAATATTCTCCATTTTCCATGTGTCGTACTATTTCACAATTTTCGATATGGTACATGGCTATGTATGACCAGAACAGTTTCAGCCTAACCTGTAAAGAATGAAAAGCCCTGAGCCAGTGATAACTCCAGCAGTCCAGGGTGGCAAGTAAAGGCTTAAATGAAGCCAATAGCAGGAGTAGGAGTACATCTGGCCACCAGGAGCTGCCTCTCCGGTCAGGACTCCTCACCTACAAGACTCGAACTCTCCTCCATCTTATGGTTCGGGCACTGGGCTTACTGTGGCTCAGAGATGTTTCTGTTGCAGCGCAATGCTCCCTTCTCCCCCTACCATTGCTGGCTGCTTGCTTTAGGCAGTGGAACATATGACTTCACATTCCTTGTTTTTATAAGCGTTTTTTTTAAACAAACACAGCAACAAGGGTAACACAACCTTTAAAACTAGACAACTCCTAACAACTCAGATAAAGATCATATTCCCTTCATAATAAGTACATGATAACTATGAACTAAATACAACATAGGTGTCACACCTGGGGGTCGTCAAGGACAGGCGGACTAGAAGCAGGAAGGCTACAGCTCATTCGCATGCTTTGTTTTGTTGACGTGCTGTCATTTGATTGGTCATAATCGTTATGTGTGGACCTACATGGAGTAATGTTTAAAGACCTGGCAATGTGTACAAAGAATGCTGAACAATTTTCTACCAGTAAAAGTAAAGCTCGGTAAAGGAGAACTTCTCCCGTTCCTCACAACTCACGTTGCCTGTGGATCGTTGGTGACCACAGGTGTGAAAATAGACTTGAAATGCGCCTATTTCTACAAGAAATATATAGTAGGCCGTATCAGCTTAGGTTACTAAACCCTACCAGTGATAGAGATGGAGTGTTGCAAACTGCAAAGTGCAATTAGCGCCGGCCAATGATGAAATGGAGCACCTAATCCTAATATACGAACAATGGGCAACGCACATCTGCACATAGAATAACTGGATCGAACCAAATCGAAAATGAGGGCAAGTCCAAACCTCGCGTCGTTGGGTGGTGCCGCCGTAGCCGGTAGTCTGGCAGAAGCGACGGTATAGCGGGACGGCGGCGTACGAGGCGCCGACCATGGCGACCGCAACGCCGAGCAGGTACCCCAGAGTCCGTCTCGAGCTCTTCTCCCGACCCGCCGCGGTGGCGGCCGCGGGAGGTGATGACGAGGCGAGCCCGCGCCAGAGGAAGGCGGAGTCGGAGGCGGGAGGCCACCCATTCTGCGGGCCATGGAGGCGGAGGAGGGAGGGGGAAAGTTGGTGACGGAGCCTGGCGAGCGGACGCATCGCCATCGCGGCGGGAGGCGCGGCGGGCGGTGGTGTCGCCGCCGCGTTGTACTCTTTCGTCTTTCCTCTGTTCTTTCTTCTTTCTTTTTCCTCTTTTTTGCTGCGCGAATGCAACGGAACCGGGTTTCTCCAGGACGGCCTCTTTTGGATGGGCCGACAAAAGGAATTCGCTCCCAGAGAAACTTTACAGGCCCATATTAGATGCGATGAGTTACAGGCCCATACACTTCCTTCCCGCGGGGAGATGTGTTCAACCCAACATTTTTCTCACAAAGATAAGCTATGGACCTATTTGCTTGCTCTCTTTGAACAAGTGGTGATATTTGTAATATTTTCAAATTTAACATGGTTTGACCTAAACTAAAAATACCTTTTATTTAAGGACAAGGTATATACATAAAAGAGAGAGAGAGAGAGAGAGAGAGAGAGAGAATAATCATGATTTCAAATGCTTGACAAGGGATATACATAAAAGCAACATTCATGTTTGACAAAAAAAAACTGATATGGATTTTAAAGAAATCGAGCTTGGTGACTTCGTCACACTGAAGAATATGAAAAAAAAATTATAACAGTATTCTAGTTTATTTAGGGGAGAATTATCTATTTGGCACTGAAATAAATCAGTGTTTCGTATTTGGCACTCGAAAATTTGAACTTTCCTATTTGGCATCAAGTTAAAATTTTCTTTCTTAAATGGCACTGCCGTCCATTTAGGACAGTAACGGTGTCAAGTGACTGGCAAAATGATACGAATACCCTTGTTTGTAGCAGAAACCCATGGTGCCAAGTAGGGAAAGAATAAATAAACAGGGTTGGCCTGTTGTTGGGTTCGTGCATGTGGTTGCTGGAGAGGTGTTCCGTGCTTGCTGGCTCTAAACGGGCTTCGGCCTTTTGGTCTTGGGCCCGTAGGAACACAACAGAGGGAGAGGGGTACGGAACACAGAAAGGGACAGAGCAAGAGCGTCGTCGTGCTCCTCAGGCACACGTCCGCCATGGACGGCGCTAGAGCTCGGCTAGCGGGCGATTTCGGCCACCATTCTCGAATCCAAGGGCATGGGGAGGGAGAGGAGAGGTAGGGGATTCACGTAGGCTAGCTACCTCGACCGATTGCAGCGTGGGGAGGGAGATCGACGGGCGCTCTCCTCTCTGTGCAAGGACAGAGGAGGAGGAAGATGAGCGAGGGGTGGGTGGCTACGGAGCTGAGCGGCTCAGTGTGGTTGGCGTGGTGGAGGAGAGTCAAGAGGCGAGAGAGGCGCCCCTTGTATAAGCAGTTGGAGGAGCGGGCTCAACACCACGGCATGGCCGCGACAGAGCTGGCACACGGAGGACGGGCGACGTGCCTAGCGCAGCTGACGCCCGTGCAGCACGGCGTGGGGTAGTAGCTTTGCAGAGCTACGGAAGAAGGCGAGCAACAGGTGGCTATGGCGCTGAGGCGACAGCCGTGTTGACGGTGCAGCAGACGTCGGGGCAGCACGGCCTGCATGGCGCAATTATACCTTGTTGCTCTCCCTCTTGCTCGCGGTTATACCTTTGCTCGCCGCGCCATGCGCTCGCCATTGCCACGCTCAAGCTCTGCCACCGCGTTAACAGCTGCTCGCACGGTCACAACCATCTCCGACGCCACCACCCCAGGCCGTGGCTCGTCGAGGAGCCTCGCTAGCTGGTTGCGGTGGCGCAGGCCACGCACCCCCCTAGGCCGCAGCTCGTCGAGCAGAGGCCGGGAGCGGCCTCCCGTGGGGTGGCCTACTCGCGCTCCGGCCGTGGAGCCAGGGCAGCCTCACACAATGGCACAACAGAGCCACGGAAGAAGCGGAAGAAGGTCGCGGGATCTAGGATTATGGGGGCTCAGCCAAATTTCAGCTTCTGTATCTAACAGAGGGGTACATTGGACATTGGGAGAAAAAACTAACACGGTCAAACCAGTCAGCTAACAGATGACCAATGAAAATGGACGGCAGCGCCATTTAAGAAAGGAATTTTTAACTTGATGGCAAATAGAAAAGTTCAAATTTTTGAGTGCCAAATACAAAACACTGATTTGTTTCAGTGTCAAATAGATAATTCTCCCTTTATTTAGCGCTTTAGGTGATTTGTGCTAAAAACTCAGTGTACGGAGACAAGGTGTTATAGATAAAAATAGAAATATGTAAATTAATTCTTGCATAATATGGTAGAAGTTTCAACCATTAAGCATTCTCCTAGCTACTACCTCTATATTACCATTTCAACTGCTAGAATTAGATAGTCATTGCTTCATACTCTCCTCGTCGTCAAACCCTAATCTCCTCCGCTCATCTATTTCAACCATTGGATTTAGATCCAACCACACTATTCTCTTCTCACCTCATATATAAATATCACATACCCTAGCCTCCACCATATCTTTGCCCCCCGCTACCGCCGCCGCTACCACCATCTTGCTTATCAACGCCATGAAGGTAAGTTTTTTCTCCACCACTTCTGCTTTCTTTCTCGATTCCATGGTCATCTAACTCTCACCCGCCGCCGTTGTGGGGGGGCTTTCTCTATTGATAGAATCTCCTTTATTCCGATGACTCTTTGTTTAGGGTGTGTTTGGAACCTTGTCGCGGTTTGTCTCGTCTTGTTTCGCACCATAGCTCAAGGGGAGGCCGATTCATCGCCAAGCAACCTCAAACCAAAGGTGGTAGAGGTTGAATCGGTGCGGGGGGAACCTCGATCTGATGACATCTGAGGTTGGGGAACCTTGATCAAGCAGCATCGAGTCCTATTTGGTGCTGAGGAACCTCGATCTGGCAGCAGCTAAGGCCGAATTAGGGGGGGAGGGGCTCGATCTAGTGGCATTTGAGTCCATTTTGGCGTCGAGGAACCTCGATCTAGCAGCGACTGAGGCCAATTCAGCATGGGGAACCTCAACCTAACGGCATCTAAGGCCGATCCAGTGCCGAGGAACCTTGATCCAGTTGTGGCTAAGACCGATTCGGCAACAAGAAACCATTATTCGGCAGCGGTAAAAGGCCGATTCTTCACCAGGGAATCTCGATTTGCAGTGGTTGAGATCGATTCTATGCCGAGGAACCTCAATCTGGCGGCGCCAAAGATTGGTTTGACATCGAAACCTCGATCTAGTGGCGGTGGAGGCTAATTTGGTGACGGCTCAGCTACCCACAGGAGCACGCAATTGAACCTTGCTCGTGCAGGAGAGCCGATTTGGCTTGCCTTTGTTGGCAAGGATTTTCTTGCCTAGAAGGGCAAGCTTGCTGTGCAAACAGGTGAGACGAGGCGAGCAACCAGCAAAGGTTCCAAACATACCCTTAATGTATCTACTTCTTTTGTCAACGCTAATGCCATTATACTTCAAAGTAAGTGTCACTCTTTTCTTTTGTGCAATTTGGATAACGCCTCCCTTTGTGCAATTTTTATTATTGGGAGCTTTGAACCACAGCCCCTCTCATGAGTCATGACTTCGACCTAGTAGTGGCGGCGAAGTGGAAGAAATGACACTGATGAGGACGAGATATTGTCGACAACCATGCAAGAATCTTCACAAAGGATCGAGGTAATGTAAATAAACTTGTACACTTCTAAAGTTTTCTGACTTTTTTATTTAGCAGAAAAAACACTTAAGTAGCCAATAAAAATATTGATTCTGTAGCGCAATAACCTTTGTCGGATTTCGTAAAAGGAAAATAGCCACATATCTAAAATGGGGAATGGAGATGTAGCCATGTAGGTTCATTGTCTTGCGCGGTGCAATACCTCTACATCAGTTCATCAGCATCTCTGCTATAGATTTTCAGCAGGTTACAAGGTCAAAAGCATCCCAGTCCTGAGCCCTGATCCAGAGCACGCAACTGCGTCCCTGTGTAGTGCCATGGAGCTCACTGGTTCCGATCAGGTCTTTCCTTGCCCCGGTGATGTGTCACAATTTGCAACTATAGTGCATGCGCATTTCTGCTGGTGATGCACCTTCAGTTCATCACTGGGTGCAGTCGTAAACCTGACTACCTGAGCCCACGAGAGCAGCAGGGATGCAAAGCTTTAGAATGGGACAAGCACATCTGCACATTGTGTGCTAGCTCACCTGATTTATTTCCTCGAAGGACAATGATTCAAAGGAAGAATTGAGAGAAGCATTCAAACTGTTTGACAAGGACTAGAATGGCTATATTGCAGAAAAGGTAAACTCCTTGTTTCTGCAAGCTCTTATCCATCCGATCACTCTGCTCCCAATTATCTTTTTTAGACGAGCATCTACACACTAGTCAAGATTTCCAAGCAATAAACTGTTGGCATTTTGTCTTGAATGGTTTAGAGCCAATCTAGAATGGTAATGATGCTAGACTCTACAACAGTTGTAGTGTTGATCCAAGCGATCAAATCCACACGATACAGCTCTGCATCGACAAACAACAAAAATACTCTATGAATGTACACTAACTTTGGCAAAACTTTCCAAACCTCAGCATTAACAATCCAGTTGGCAGAAGGTGCTAACCATGTACCCTATCTTCCTAGAAACTTTGCATATAAGATGCCTAGGTGGTTTACAAAGGGGAATTACGTACCGGTGACGGGTACTGTAACTAGTATCAAGAGGATCAACCATCATGTACTCTTGTCTAAGCAGTTAGTCAGACAACAACAACATGGGCCCTGTTTGCTTTGCTGAAAAGCTAGGCTAAAAAGTATTGTTCGTTGATTTGTTATGAGAGAAAAATATTGTTACTTCGCTGAAAAAGTACGGCTGATAAGCCAAGCGAATAGGGCCATGTTCTATGTCATAGTGCTTCTTCTACTCATTTGAGCAGCATCCTTTGTTTGAACTCATCATAGCTCACAAGACCATCACCGTTCGTGTCCGCCTCCCGTATCATCCCTTTGACCTCCTCGTCAGTCTGTTGCTCCCCAAGGTTTGCCATCATGTCACGGAGCTGCAGAGTCAAATGATATTAACTGATGCCAAAAGTTTATTATTTGGAAATCTCGAGTAGATGTCCCTCTATAGAAAGAATTGGCAGTATAGTGATCGAGTAGGTAAGAACATGCTTAATCGAGGGGTTTACCTTAGCTGCAGAAATATAGCCATCCCGGTCTTTGTCAAACATTTTGAATGCTACTTTCACTTCTTCCTCTGAATCAGTGTCCTTCACGAGCATAAATCAGGTGAGTTAGTACCAAAAGAGTGCAAATAATACATAAATTGTATTTTTCTTGAATACACAAAAGATTTACATATCATTGTATTAAGAAGAAGAGTTTAAACATATAGATAGCGCGCATCTACCTAGCGCCAAGCCGTAGCTGACCATCTAGTAGAAGATCTCTAGTTTTGATATTACATAAAAGAAAACAACCAATACCGACGCAGCGGTGCGACCTAGTAGGTGGCCTTGCGTCTTTGTAGCTACCTGGACGAGCCCTTTCCACCGTTCGGGAAGAGCGCGTCCAGCGCTTCAATGTTAGACGCAGTCAGGTTGCCATCAAAGATCTTGTCAAAGGCCTCCAGCTCCGACGTGGATCACGCTGATGGACCCTTGGTGTAGCCCATACGCTCCATGATCAGCACCTCACCTCGCTTGGAAGCAGGTATTCAAGAGCCTCTGAGCCGCCAACCGTCTGCTCCGCCATGGCATCACCGGCTTAGCAGGAGGCTGCTTAGGAGGCTCACGAATAAGCGGAGAGTCGACCTTCTTCAGCACGCGCCTGGTGAAGCTCTTGAGGTGGCGTGCGACGGAGCTGTCGTTGATGTCGACCGTGCGGTCCTCTCGAGGCGCGTACTGAACATGTCATCATCCGCCGTGGCCTCGGGTGGACCACAGCCAGTCGGACCACCCTCCTCGTCTTCCGTAGGGGCAGCAACTCCTGAGGGGGTGGTCTGCGCCACCTGAGGTGGCATGACCTAAGCCTGACCGTGCTCAGGCGGCCGTGGAGCGAAGCCCGTTGCCATCTGAGCAGGGATACCGAGGCGGTCACTAGCGGCCGTCCGACAGACCACGAGCAAGGCTGCAATCTCCCCTATCATCGGGTCCTCTAAGACGTCGCGTGCAGTGTGTGGCATCCAAGTACTGTGTGAGTAATAGATCGAGCTCGAAAAGGCCTCAAACCTCGATGGTGGGCTCACCGTGACCCTCCTGGGTAGTACAGTCGGGTGCGACAGTGATTTCTGGCGTCGCAGCGGTGCCGGCAGTCTCGCTGCGTTCAGCTGCAGTGTCGCTGGAGGAGTTGGTGGTGTCTACCACCGGCCATCTCCAGCGTCTTGTACGTCGCCGCCTCATTCGCCGTCGCCACCGCCGCCCTCGGTCGATAGACGCAACAGCAGTCAACGCAGGCACGGCTCCACCCGACTCCATCGGACTGCCGTTGGCGGGCGGGTGGGCGGCCGAGGTACGGTCCCGGGCAAGTGGTCGTGGCCGGCCACCTGTGCCGGTAGCTGTAGGACGCGTCGCCGCTTGCAGTCGTGCGTGAGGTGTCCGAATCCCCTACAGCGTAGGCAACGCGGGGGTAGCCTACAGGTCGCCACCCGGTGCAAGGATAAGAGACAGTTGAAGCACTTCCCATGTAGGTCTGGCGGAAAGCGGGCGGAGGGTGGACATTCCTCCGAACATGCAGGACGTGCAGGATGCACAGTGCGTGCCCCGTCAGAGCTGCTTGGTGTTTCTCGCGACAGGACCTTGCACCAGCCATTAGCATCCAGAGCGGAGATATGCCTACTCCTGTCGGAGCGTGGTCCGAGCCTTAGATCGGCTGGCACGCGCCGTGCAACTCGAATGTTGCCGGCGCCCGCATCCTTGCCACGGACAGGAAGCCCATGGATGAGCCTCGGTCATGGCCGATGATGGCTGATGTGCCTACGCCGCCCTGCGGCATAGTTGACGCCACCAACAGTAGTGGGGCGGCCGTCGTAGGCGGTGGTGATGTCCTCAGCGGCTGCGACTCATGAAGAATCGCGTCGAGGTAGGGGGTTGGGGAGGCGTTCGGCGACGCATCCGCATCGGAGTCATCGAGATTCATGCCTAGGAACCGAGTTCATGGTCGCAATCCCTCGACATGGGCGAGGGGTCCTTGGCCTATGGCTGCAGCTGCGCGACAGATCGGCCATCTCGTTCACCAGCGGCGCCAGAATCAGCTCCCATGCATTGCTGTGGGCCAGCCGCGGCTGTGCCATCCAGCCTTGGTGCCGAGGCGGAGTCGGCTGCGTGGAGGCATCGACAGAGGAAGCAGCCGCGGAACCACCCGTCTGGGGCCCATTCGCGCGGGGTTCAATCTCTTCTGAGGGCGGTGCCGGCATCCGCGGCGGCGCTATGTCAACGTCAATCGTGGATCTGCCCGCACGTGGGTCGCCAGCGCAAGGTCCTCCCATCTCCGTCATTGGTGGAGACGGCTACATCGGCGGTGGTGGCCCAGCGTGCGTGCCATCGCCGGCGGCCGCAACTTCGCCCGTCCACGATTGGAGCGGCGGCGACGGCGCCTCGGTGGTGGCCGAGTCTATAGGGCAGTGAGGGGATTGGGTAGGGGAGTGGGGAGAGGAGAGAGGGGGAGGTGGAGGGGTCCGCTGGCATTGGGATGGCGGCCGACGACGACGGCTGGGGGCGTCCGCCAGGGGCGCCCCCTAGGGTTTCATCAGGTATTTTGGACATCAAACATTGTAGGAAGATGCCATTGTTAACACTAAAACCCGTGCTATGCTATGATGCTTCCAGTACCACTGTTTGCTTTGGTCTAATCAAGCTGGCAATAGACCATTCAAGCCGCTAGTAGTATGTATTGAATCAAAATGTTCGTTTCATATTAGGAATTTCAAATGCTAGTGTGCATTGCATTCTTGCGTAAGAGAAATAACACCTTCTCAATAAGATAAGTACCTGAGCTCACGAGGGCAGCAGGGATGCAAAGTTTTAGAATGGGACTAGCAGCACAAGCACATCTGCACATCGTATACAAACCTGATTTATTTTCTCGAAGGATACTGATTCAAAGGAAGGATCAAAAAAGCATTCAAGTTGTTTGACAAGGGCCAGAATGGCTATATTCCTGCAACAGGTGAGGTAAACCCCTTGTTTCTGCATGCTCCTATCCATCCGATCACTCTGCTCCTAGTTATCTTTTTTAGATGAGCATCTACACGCTAGTCGAGATTTCCAAGCAATAAACTGTTGGCATTTTGTCTGGAATGGTTTAGAGCCAATCTAGAATGGTAATGATGCTAGACTCTACAGCAGCTGCAGTGTTGATCCAAGCGATCAAATCCACGTGATACACCTCTACATTAGACAAACAACAAAAAAAAATACTCCATGAATGTACACTAAGGTCTCGTTTGGCATAACGTAGCTTAAAACAGCTTCACAAGCAGTTTTTTCGGTGAAGCCGAGTTGTTCTGAAAAAACTGTTTAACAAAACTAGCTTCATGCATAGCTGAGGGAGCAAAATGAGGAAGAGCCGTGAAAAGCTACTTTTTTAGCTTCACTTCTCTCCATCCCTTTGTGAGGGCATTAAAAAAAGGAGTTTCACCCATAAACTGTTTTGAAAAAGAGTGTTTGGCAAAAAAAAAAGCGACTCATAACTGCCGGTGAAACTGTGCCAAATGGGTCCTAACTTTGGGAAAACTTTTCAAACCCAGCATTAACAAATCCAGTTGGCAAAAGGTGCGAACCATGTACCCTATCTTCATAGAAACTTTGGATATATGAAGCCTCGGTGATTTACAAAGGGGAATTAAGTACTGGCGACAAGTATTATAACTAGTATCGAGAGGATCAACCACCATGACTCTTGTCTAAGTAATTAGTCAGACACCAACAACATGTTCTATTCTATCAGCCTGTTCGCTTGTTGGTTTCAGCCAGGGCTTATCAGCCAGCCAACAGTGTTTTTCTCTCACAACAAACCAGCACCAGCCAGTCTTATCAGCCCAAAAACCAACCAGCGAACAGGTTGTATGTCATAGTCCTTCTACTCATTTGCGCAGCATCCTTTGTTTGAACTCATCATAGCTCACAAGACCATCACCGTTCGTGTCGGCCTCCCATATCATCTCTCTGACTTCCTCGTCAGTTTGCTCCCCAAGGTTTGCCATCATGTCACGTAGCTGCAGAGTCAAATGATATTAACTGATGCCAGAAGTTTATCATTTGGAAATCTCGAGTAGATGTCCCTCTATGTTAAGAATTGGCAGTATAGTGATCGAATAGGTAAGAACATGCTTAAGCCAGGGGTTTACCTCAGCTGCAGAAATATAACCATCTTGGTCTTTGTCAAACATTTCAAATGCTTCCTTTACTTCTTCCTCTGAATCAGTGTCCTTTGAGAGCATAAATCAGGTGAGTTAGTACCGAAAGGGTAGAAAGAATACATAAACTGTATTCTGTATAGCAAACATCGTAGGAAGCTGCCATTGTTAAACTTAAATTCGTACTATGCTCTGATGCCTGTATGCTTTGGTCTAATCAAGCTGGCAACAGACCGTTCAAGCAGCTAGTAGTGTGCATTGAATCAAAATGTTTGGTTTCATATTAGGAATTTCAAATGCTAGTGTGCTTCGCATTCTTGTGTAAGAGAAATAGCACCTTCTCAATAAGATAAGTACTGTGAGCAAACCAGTGATATTTGGCATTAAACAAAAAACCTTAACATTAAGCTGAATCTCTAACACCCTCACTTCAGGACACAGTATGGAAATCATATAAATTAGACTAAACAAGCTATGAAGCATTATTCTCGAGGGGAATGTCTCAGGGCATTTCCAAGTTCTGATCCTAGAAAATATGTACAATATAAGTTTGGAATGCAGCGTATAGAGCATCAAGTACATTGGGATAACATAATAAGAGAAAAACGTAGGCCATACTTTCAGTTTGTGTGCCATCAAATTCAAGAATTCAGGAAACTCAATAGTTCCGTTTCCATCGGCATCAACCTCCATGATCATATCTTGCAGTTCATTACCAGTGAGGTTTTGACCCAAGGACTTCGTCACAGTTCCCAGTTCTTCGCTAGTAATGAATCCTGTATACATGTAAGTGGAAGAATCTCATGTGAATTCATTTTTCAAAATCTGTTAAGGAGCAAAAGCACAAACCACATATTTCCTAATTCCTAGGCTTGATAGTATAAAGTTAACAACACGAAACATTTCGCGTAGATTATGTAAAATGGTGACAAGTTTCAAACAAAACACACCCTTCATCTGAACCAAAGATCACTGAAACTATGCACTCAAACTACAATGTACAGTTCAACTGTTCAAGTGATGAACAGATGCACATATAGGCAGATAAAAGACGTCAAAGGTAGAAAAGAGTAGACACCATCTATGCATAGCTGAGCTAGATAACTAAGATGCAGATACTGAGATTAGGAACAAAAATTAACACAAACAACTCTGAAATTTTTGGTACCAGTAATGTAGCCTCCGTATTGTTTATCCCTAGCCATGGCATCCAATTTTTCCATAAGAACACATGCAATCCCAGTAGCTAATCCATTCTTTATCTCTAGTCGAACAGGCAGCAATGCAGGCGGGGTTACTGGTTTTTACAGATGGAAGGCTGCTACAACTAGAACAAAATTGACTGTAATCAGATTCATATGCATAGGACTGCAGATCAGGAATTCAGAACCGTGCCAATCAATCAGAGTGTGGATATAGAGATCTGGGAAAAACAATATGCACAAACACCTCTGAAAATTCTGACAACAAACCTCAAGGCAGATAGGTAGAAATTCAGATACGAGACAAGTTCATGCAGGAACGAAAAAAAGAAGCCAGCAAAAAACCCAAACAATCAATCCCTAGAAGGCTAGAATTCCCCATCCCGGTGTTCCCAAAAAACCACTCACCCTGATTCTAAGCATGGCACGGGTTGAGCAACAAAATAGATCGAAAAGTCCCATGATCTACTAGCAAACACCGAGCGGATGGCCGGATGGCCCAAGAAACCCTTCGAAGCTGCACCCGCAAGGGTTTAGGAAACGACGAACACGTACCGTCGCTGTTCTTGTCGAAGAGGGCGAAAACCTCCTTGAACGCGGCGATCTCTTCCTCAGTGAAGTGCTCCGCCATCTCTCGTCGGTCGATCCTGCGTCTCTTCCTTCCGCCGCTTCGTTCACGCTCTTGAGCCGTGGATGGTGCGCGATGCTGAGGCTTCACGGGGACGCGTGCTTAGGAAGGTTTGCGTTCGCGAAGAGAGGCCTGTCTGGACGGCGAGGAGGACTCGAGTGTGGGGGCCAGGGATCGGGCAGGGAAAGGTTAAGCAGAAGAGGTGTGGGCCCCGGTCTTCCTGAGTTTCGGTGGGTCTCACCTGATGCACATGCACCTCGAGGGGAAACGCCTGGCAGGCTTGCTCACTGCCAAGTGGGGGCCAGCCGTGGCTTATTTTTTCTTTTTTTGTTGACTGGCGTCTGAACATGGGCCCTGCCCAGTGGACTTCGTCGTGATTAGAGGTTGCTCTTTTTCACGGGCCGAAAGTTTAGGCCTAGCAGGCCTAATTCATGTAAATTCCACTATCCACCCCGAAATCTAATAGGCCAGCTGGCCAGCATCCCATTACAATTCACAAGGCCCAGGCCTAAATAAACATTATCTCTTCAGACCCAAGCCTGCGATCGGTCCATCTGTGTCGGCATTGAAGGTTAGCAAGCACTGCAGCAGGTCCGAGATATCGAGGTGCTCCAAGTCAGGGGCCGCAAGAAGAGATCGACGAGGAAGCCGCAACCGGTGGTGCTCGGATTAATGCGCGAGCAGGCATCGATCTCTAGGGCACGAGAAAATTGGAATTCTACCATTATTATAGGACGTGGGCTAGGTTGCCATCCCGCAACGGAGTTCTAAATTGCCATTACGAAACATGTGCAGTCCGCTAGAATGCCGTCCCTTGTTTTTCGGGAGAGCACACGGACGCACGGAACGGAGGGAGGAGAAACGGATCGACGTCGGTCGACCGGGCGCTCCTCCGCTTCCTCTCTCCACGCCAGAGCCATGACTGCAGCGCCTCCCCCCACGCCGGCCATGACTGTAGCGCCCCCCGCCCCCCCCCCACGCCGGCCGTGGATTGCCCTCGCGGCCGCGGCCGTCCCTGCCCGCCCACACCTTACCGCCGCGCACGCTCCCGCAGCTTCCTGGACTCGGCCAGCAAGCCGCAGTCCTCGCCGCCGCCCACGTAGCGGCCCATCACGAAGAGCCGCGGCAGCGGCGCGCCCTCGCCGGCCAACTCCTGCACCTCTCAGAGGTACTCCCCGTGCCGCTACTGCGTGGTTGCCGTCGGCGGCCTCGGACAGCAGCTGCCGCGACGAGCTGGACGCTGACGACGAAGCTGTGGATGACGAGGAGTTCGACGGAGAGCTGGACGCACGCAGACATAGGGTTGGGCGAGGTGACGCTCTCCTTCTCCCGTCGCGCTGCCGAGTGCCGAGCCGAGCGATCTGCTCATCTTCGTGTCGCCATCAGAGAGGTGATTCCGGCGAGGAGACGTTATTCCGGCGCGGCCGCAAGTGACAAGGACGAAGAACGAGATCCGATTCTTGGCGAGGACGAGGTCGACGGACAGCTGCACGGGTCCACGTCCTCGCTGTCGTACATAGCGCGGGAGGCAGCAGGACCGCCGTGCCGCTCGCTCGCGGAGAAAAGGAGCAGCTCGATCCGTTTCGTGGCCCCCCGTTCCGTCCATGCTAACGTGAAAGAAAGAAGGAAAGGGCAGGGACAAGAGTGGAAGAGAAATTCTTTTTTCATTTTTTTGGAGTCTCAAACGCATAGAATGTCATTCTAGCGGACTGCACAAGTTTTATAATGGCGATCTAGCCCATTAAAGGATGGTAATTCAGCGAAAACCACTTCCCATGATGGTAGGATTCTAATTTTCTCCGGATAGAAGGGGAAGAAGAGGAAGAGAAAGAGGAATAAGAATAAGACGGCGGTGGAGGAGGCACAGAGGAGGAAAGATGAGGTTATGTCCGAGATCACCACAAATGCGAGCAGCATCTTCCACCTTCCTCCGAGAGTCAACAGACCCAAAAGCCTATCGCAACGGAGGACCATAGCGCAGCGCTCTCTGGAGGGACTTGTTACGTTCCTCATCAGCTACTTCCGCTATCTCCCTGTCTCGGAGGCCCTGCACTACCTTGTCCTGTTGAAGGCTGACCTGCTAGTAGCCGTCCTCCTCATCGAGCACATCCAGGGCGTGGGCTGCAGATGGTTCCCAATCTCCTCGCCAACCATGGAGGTAGCCCTGAGGTGTGCTGCCATGTCTGCCTCACTCCCCAAGCCGGCCCTCTTTGCAACCAGATCGCTGTTACTGGCCTCGCGTCTTGAGGGGCTCTCAAAGATTCTTACCATTGATCGTGGCCTTTCTGTTTATGCCATCAAGCAATTCCACGAATTGCTTGAGGAACCTCTCAAGGAGCCACCTTGCTCTTCGGAGGCTGTTTGGCAGGCGACTCTTCGCTTAAATCGCTACATCAAAGGAACAGCCAGCATCAACACTTTCCCCCTTGAATTCAAAGAGACTCTGAGAACTTTGCTTCTACAAAAAATCCATTTGTTGTACCTCAAAGCAATCGCGCTGCTTCCGAGGGATGCCTTGCGCATACGCCATCACCAAGGACTCCTCAAGGCCGGCTACTGCTTTGGTCCAGCTAATGACCCTGTCACCAACATCATTCTCAATACCATCTGGTACGACGCTGTATTCCCTCCATCCAAAGAGTTTAAGGTGGACATGATCAGCACCAAAAGTCTTGTGCGCGTCGAGTGCCGCTCCCTCAATGGCCTCCTTGCTTTCCTCCGCGTCGTCTTCCCTGAACTCTCTGAACATGATGCCATACTGTACCTTCTCCACTCCAATGCTAACCTTGAAGAAGCCATTTTCAGAGCAATGCGTAACCTTGATATGTCGAGCTCTTATGTGGATGCTTACAAGGCTGCAGCCGATGCGGCATGGCATCCTCAGCCAGATGCACTGGCTAAATTTGCGGTGTCAACACGCCCAAGTTTTTTGCCAATTTTCAAGGCATCGCAAATGGTTAGCCGCACAGTCACCTCCAGCGAGGTCGAGCTCATTGCAACATATTTTTCAGAGAAACCATGCCGTGGAAAGTCTGTGCCCTCAGTTCCAGAATTAGTTCCTGGAGCAGCCAAGATTGTCGAAAGACACCAGCAAAAGTTCATGGCTAATCAGTATTTCATCCGCAGAAAGGCGAAAGCTGCATTGAAAAGATATGCAAAAGAAAAGGTTGATTTTCTCATTTTCTTTATTCGTCTCCTATTTTTGTTGTTTTTGCTTATATAGTTAATATTAATGCAAGTCTGTTAGTATCTTCACTGACCTGAATGCCTTGCTATAGGGAATAGAGTATGAACATGTCATCTGTGGTGCAAATTTTGATTTACCTGAGAATGGCCGGCATGGTTACTTTCGGAATCGCAATGGATTTCCAATACACTCATGTCAATTTTCTGGCAAGACCAAAGTGTTCACAGCCTGATAACACGGTTCCAAATCTTTTTTTTCTTGAGTGCAGCAATGTTGAAGAAGACCGAGATAGCCTATTTCCATGCCACACAGAACTAGAGTCGCCTACAGATTCTGGTATGATCTCACACTTGCACTACTATTGAATATGCATGAGTGAACATTTCCTCAAGTTTTATAAGGTGCCATCAACATAACTGCTTCGAAGTGCAAATCATTGTTTGTCTACACACCTTGACATCATTAGCTTCAAGAACCACTTAGTAGTTTGTAGTACGTTCCCTAGCTCCTATAATACCCCACAAAATTTAAAATGAAAAATAACCTTTCATTCCTGATGAACTTGGTGCTCTAGGCATTACTGAAGAACCCTCCTAGTTGTTGGTTTGCAGCTTCAGCACCAGCTACCCATAATCCTTAGACAGCTTGTGTGTAGCCAAAGTTGTTTTTACAAAGGCTAGTATTGACTGTGTATGTGGCTGCTCTATCTTGAAGCTTTGGGGCTCATGATTGATGCCTTGCATTTCCATGCAAATGTGAGAAGTTCTATTGTTCTAGCATTGATCATGCCCATTAGCTTTGCTCCTTAGTTATCTTTTGCAGCAGGAGCAAGGCGGGTTATCCGTGAACCCGCAAATAGGCTTAACTTTTTACGGATTATTGTGGGTAACCTGCAAAATTAAGCCTATTTGCGGGTTCGTGGACAATCCGCCTTTCATCTCTTTGCTTGTGAATTCTTGAGAGCATAGGTTTCAGTGTATCTTATGTGAGCCAATAATCGAATTTTTTTGTATGTGTATTTAGTAGCACCAACTTATGTATTTGGTGCTGGTCATGGGTGACTTTTGAGGTAAGCAGAAAAATGTCATGTAATCCCTGTGCTCACAAGCCTGCTTACCCCAAGAGTAATTGAACACAAAAGAATGTGGCCTGTCATGCATGTGTGTAGTCCTTGTTCATTTGACTTTGCTCTGGGCTTGAACAACTAGTTAGGGAGGAAGAGGAAGCACGTGAAGAGCTTTTCAGATGAGACACTGGAATATAATCATGTGTCCCTGACATGTCCTGCGAGTCAGAGCTGTCCTCAGAAACCGCACATGACTTTTGCAAGATCGACACATTCATCTTGTTTTCCAATGCTAAATTGCGGTCTTATTTAGTAGGCTACTATGTAAGAGTTAATCAGTGATGGTGAAATCTGCTAACTTTGGTGTTTAGAAGAGTTTATTTGAAGTTATATGTTTATGTGTACACTTGAAGACCAGGTCCACCATAATGTGCTACAATTTGCAGTTAGTCTGCAAACTTGGAATGTCTATGACTATGAGCGCCTTTAGATGTCATGTAATTGATATGAAACTACGGTGCTGTCTATCTTTCTGAGCAACAATCGTCCAAGAGTGAGGTTATAGTTCTCTGCCATGATCCCATGGCAGTGCGCAGGTGTTTTAGCTAGTTCACATGTGAATATACCTTCCTCAGAGATTGCATAATGTGGTCTGAAATAAGAATAGTAATGTGACCAGCAGCAATAGCATCTCGAGGAGTTTGGTAAAACAACTCCAGCAAAGAAGTATAAAAAGTCTCCTCCAATAGTTTAGTAAAAGAATTCTTTAAAATTAAAAAGTTACTGAATATCTTCCTGAACTCATAAACTTCCACGGTCGAGAGAACTTTCTATCCTTCCTCGCACAGTTTTCACCGGCGTGAGGTTTTTTTTTTTTGCGTGAGATATAATTTTAGTCCATATCAAAATTTCCTTTGTGCCATAAAAAAATTTGAGAGACTCCTGCATCACTGCTCCAAACTTTTATGCCCTCTACTCTATACTGTTTGATCCCATCTCATTTTAATGGCTCGCTCACGTTGTCACATGTGTAATAGGATGAGAAATGGCCATATTGCCCCCTCTTCTCCACCTCTATCCAATAAATTTTAGACAATTTTCGCAAAAAAATTTAAGGTGTGAACAGACGGTTTTATTTTCAAGGCTTTACTCTAACGTGGGGTCCAATCTGACGATGCTAATTGGCACAAAGTAGTCGTTTGATGCATTAAATCATCTACAATAAATGTTAGTCAACTTCGATAAATTTTTATAGTGTGAACATGATATTTTAGGCCCCGTTCGTTTGGCTGAAATTGACTGAAAAACACTGTTTCCCGCTAAATTGTTGTGAGAGAAAAACACTGTTCCGGCTGAAAAAAGAAGCTGAACAAGCCGGATTATAAGGTAAGCTGAATGGGGCCTCGTCCAACTTTAATCTAAACCGACATATTTTATGCAAACTACATGTTCTTGTAGCAAACCCACGGATTCTTGTAGTAAACACACGGGTTCAACTAGTTGGTTGGTTGGGTTGGAAAAATAAACATGTACATATGATGGGGTGGATTGTAGGAGAGAGTTAACTTGATGTGGGTTTAATTGAGTGGGTGAGGCTCGAACCCATTTGCTGGCTTCACTACGATAAGAAAGAGCCAGCTGCAGCCCTCTTTCGGCGACAAGCCCCAGCTGGCGGGGAGAGCTCCGGAAGAGAAGGCAAAGGGTGGCCCCAACGCCTTCACGAGGCGCTTCGCCGGCCGCTGCTACCGATGCCTCGGCCATGACCACCGCGTCGCACAGTGCAGAGATCTAGTGCGCTGTCTCAGGTGCTAGGGGATCGGCCACATCTCTCGCACTTGTCCTGCCCGTCGCCCACGCATCATCTCCGCCAGCCTCCAATCCAGATTAACCTTCCCTCCAGAGAACATACACAGCCACATCGATTTCCCCCCTTTGTAGCACACCGTAAGCAAATCCAGGGCCGTGCCGGCAAAATCCGGAGCCTTGTTCTAAAATATAAAATAGGCCTTACCCGATTTAGAAAAATAGAATGACAATAATGCATATGCTAAAATGTACTATTTTTCTTAAAAAATGTTTTATATAGCAAACCTCTAAAAGAAATACTTCTATGCAAACGGGAGAAAGTTTAGCATTTAGTAAGTAATTAATCAAAAGAAATAGGCTCCGTTTGGCTTACCCCATATTCGGTTTGTGTGGCTTCTTTTTTTAGTCGGAACAGTGTTTTTCTCTCACAGCAATTCAGCCAGAACAGTGTTTTTTAGTCAGTTTCAACCAAAATTCTGCCAGCCAAAATTCCAACAATAATTGAAAACTATATAAGACAATACCAGGCAGTTTGGGGCACTACAGACGGGCAGCCCGCATTCTTTACACGCAGACTTGAGATTTCCAAGCCTAGCGGAGACTGGGAGATAAATACGACGGAGTGACAGAACGACGTAGATGGATTAGATGGCTATCAGTCGACCGATGTAGCATCACAGCAATTTCTAGACTACTGATGGACTGTAAATTTGAGGCCCTAAAAAATCTGAGGCCCTGTACGGTTGCACGGCCTGCGCATCCATGGGGCACGGCCCTGAGCAAATCCAATCCCACACCACCACCAAGCAGTCCGAAGATGGAGCGAGATCCTGGACACGCCTTGCACCGCCCTAGGTTCCTCCGCTCACGCTCACCGGCTCCGCGTGCCTGGACCGGCGCGGCGACCACGTTTCAGCGCCTGTCACCGGTGCTACAGTCAGCAGGCCTCGATCCCATGCTTGAGCTTGGCTGGGGACTTGGGGAGGAACGGGGATGCCATCCTGCTGAGTCCCTCGACGACGACCCAATGCTCCTTGAGTTCCAGCTCGCCCAGGCGTTCGCCGCCCCGACTGGAGGCTCCACAGTCCGTCCAGAGGTCGACTCCAGAGGCGAAGCGGAGATCACCTTTGGGCCCAGCGTGCAGCGTGCAGCGTGCAGCGTGCAGCGTGCAGCGTGCAGCTTGCAGCCCCATAGCAGGTCTCCGACGAAACCCAGTTGGTCGATGCTGTCAATATCTCGGCCACTGTCGACTTGGCTGTGACGGCTAGTGCGGTGGCTACGGATAACATCGTCTATGAGTATGCTGATTTGCAGGAGGTTGAGGACACCGGTGGCTGCACTGATTTGCACGGGACAGAGGGAATCAGTGACTGTGCCTCGAAATCAGTGACTGTGCCTCCTTCTGCAGGTGGATGTTCAGAAAGGCCCCTGAGCCGGTGCTACCGAGGCCAGCCTCACCTCCGGTGCCAGATGTTCAGAAGCAGGCCGGCCCATCAAGTACCAGAGGACGCCGAAAGACATTGGCTCCCACCCTCTCTAGCCTGCGCCTGGCTGCTCGGCCATCCAATGTGCCGGTGGCACAACGCGCCCAGCGCAAGCTTATGTGTGAGCTGGACTTCATCAATGGCCAGTCGCTGGCGCCAGATGCAGTAATCATAGAGTTCGTTGATATGTTTGGACTGGACAGGACCTCCCGGAGCAGGCAGTCGAGGCAATAAGGGCCACGACGAAGATGGGCAACAAGGAGCTCTCCAAGGCCCTTGCTGCAATGGCAGCGGAGTCGACGGCTGAGATGGAGGTCCCATGATGGTGCCCATGTATTGTACAATTATTCAAGCAGCAGTCAGTGTCACATCAGGCAAGTTAGGTCCCTTCCCTATGTTGTGTTTCAGAAGTAGTTCGTGTTGGAAGGGCTGTCATCCGTGCAGTCTCCCAATTGAGCATAATGTTGTTCCATTGGGTTGCATATGTGTTAGTTCGGGGTCAGTGAGTTCCAGGTGTCGAAAGAAAATGGTTGCTAGTCGGTTTGGTGAGTTAGAAGATGTAGATCGGTTGCTTTTGGATGCCAATTTGTTATGGCCTTTTGTTGTACACCGTGAGTGTGAGTAGCCAGCTCAGTTCTTTTCGCCCAGATTGACGGTGTGTCAAACCTGGAAAGCTGTTTGCCCTGCTTGCACATGTAATTTTCTCCTCGTCTTATTAATATATGCCGGCTATGTTCCGGATCTTTCAAAAAAAAAAAGATAAGAAAGAGAGCAAGTGGCAAACTTTCACGATCAAGCATTAGAATACCATGGGGAGCAGCAGCAACAACATCAGAACCGGTAGAAGACAAGTATTTTTTTTATCATGTTAACATCCCATTCACATTTAATAACTACACATGTTATCCCCAAATGTTGTTTAGAAAACTGATTTAAGATTTGGGTCGTGACACCACAGGAGTCGCGCGCGGCTTCCAAGAGCAGAAAGCATGCCAAGGACGCCGTCATCGCGGCTCTAACCCATCATCTAGCTGGTCATTGCCGTCTTGTTGATCACACCACACCGGTCGAGCCGGAGTCGCAATGGATTCACCTTTTAAGCCCCGAACCACAGCCACAGGTGGTGGCGCCGACGCGGTTGTGCTGCACTGCTGGCCGTGCGGGATGTCGGCTAGTTGCCTCCGAACGAACCCACTGGAATGCATGCGTTACTTTTGTGTAGCACAGCGTACACGCACACCTGCAACCGAAACAAACTAAGTTGTCGGCCGGGTTCGCGGTCCGGGTCCTGGCACGCACTAACTAGGCTCTTCGCGAGCTGTAAAGCTTGCTCATGTCGATGTACCCCCATTATCTGCAGATTAAACTCAGCCATGCTACATGGACGCGTGGCATCTACGGATGTACCCCCATTATCTGCAGATTAAACTCAGCGGATATCATTGTTTTGCAGCCGTCACTACCCGTTTTGTGTACACACATTATGTGCATGCGCCGATGAGGGACGAAAACTGAAAATATCTGGTGGCCTGGCCACTTCGCGCATGCATCGCAATTCATTGACAGCTCTGTCTGTCTATAAATACGTGGCATTTGCTAGCTGTGATATACCACACTCGAACAAGCATCCCCAGAGCACTACTCGAAACAAGAACTGCATCAGCTGCTACTCTTCGCCACCACCCTACCACCAAGCGTGCAAATGGCCACCAAGAAAGCCACCGCCACCACGGCGGTCCTCCTCGCCGTGACCCTGCTGCTGCTCTCCTCCCCGGCCGCCGTCGTCGTGCGCGCGCAGCAGCGGGGCAACCCGTGCCCGACGAACGCGGTGGCGGACCTCAAGGTGTGCGCCGACGTGCTGGTCCTGCTCAAGCTCAAGATCAACGTGCCCCAGAACCAGCAGTGCTGCCCGCTGCTGGGCAACCTCGTCAACCTCGACCTGGCCGCCTGCCTGTGCGCCGCCATCAGGCTCAGCGTGATCGGCATCCCCGTCAACCTCCCGCTCGACGTGCCCCTCGTGCTCAACTACTGCGGCCGGAACGCGTCGGCCGTGCCGGGCTCCAATTGTTCCTTCTGAGTGTCCATGCTTCACGGCTTCATGTTATGATGAATAAAGTGTTTGTAATGAGCTTAATACTGGACATGTTATGATGAATAAAGTGTTTCCAACCATCCAGCTTCTGTTTTACATGTAACCGTCTTTGGTCAACTGTTTCTTTATGCCATTGATAAGTCATTCGTGGTTTTTTTTTCAAAACAAAGTCATTCGTGGTTATATTTTGCTTGGGCTTATCTAGGGTGGAGGACTCGAGTTTGAATTGAATCTCTTATTCTACACCTGAGGCCTATAAGAAAGAGAAGAGTGGATACCCTAGTACTCCAACAAATAGAGTTTGCTCTTACCACATCCTAGATACTTGAGATTTCATCGTCTTTTCGTTGTTACCCTCAACATGTTGATGTTGCTTAAATCTTAATTGGTTCCTTAGAGTCTATTAGACACTTGAACTCAAAGAAACGGTTCAATTTACGACTTGCATTTTCATTAAAATGTGGAAAGAGGTGTCATTCATACAGTACATGCATAGGTCGATACTAATGGAATATTGTAATAAGCACATAATATATATCTATTATACATGTTCTTCCTTCCATCTCTCACTCTATCTCTCGGTTCATCATCTTTTACTCCTTTTGTTTTTAGTTTGAAGCTGTAAAACCTTCATTAGCACCAAGGCACTCGTGTCATGGTTTGATCGCCTGAGCTTGTGTGTGTTGCGGCGCTCATGCAGGCATATGGCTCATCTTCCACATTTCTTAAATTCATAGCAGGTGCACACAATAGACACTCATTTAAGTTGAGAAAAAATCACATACAAGATTAATCAATTTATTATGAGCTTTAAAACTTATTTGATTTAAGGTTAGACCAAGCAAAATTAAATCTAACAAAAATAACCAACTCATTATCATTGACATCCGCACAAACATTTTACGTTGTATACGGACATGTTTGCTGGTATATCATATTAAAAGGATCCGTCACTCTCTTTCTCGTCTATCTGTTCCTTCACTTCATCCTAGGCTCCTGGCTAGTTTTACTAAGAGCATTGGTACGTGATGAATTAGAGATAAGAGTCTTGCTTAGTTTACTATCCGTCCGTGACTCGAACTCAAGATCCGTGCTCATACAAGGGAGAAAACGTACATCTAATTTCAGTTGTATATTTCGTCGCAACACACAAGCATATTTAGTATAGTTAGTATAGATGAGGAGAACATAGTCATCTCACTGTTCACGAAATGAATTCAGATATCAAACATCCCTATATAAACTACTAAGAAAATATTTTGATGGGTTTGGTTATCCATTGATTATTTTGCAAGTCGCCCCTCAAAAGCCTCGCACAAAGCCATGTCCCGGCCGAGAAATATCAGAGATATGATGTGGCAGACAGCACTAGCGCACGCGCCGCCCTACATACACCGGCCGTCGGCTTAACGCACGCCACCACCGCCTCGGCACATCAACTCCAAGCTCAAAGGCAGCCCAAGCTCAAAGGATGAGTCCATCGCGTCCCGCCGCTAAACGAGACCAGCCGTAGCAGCAGCCTAGCAGCGCCTTCGAAAATCCGGAGGCCAGGCCACCTCGCACGTCAGGACAATTACGTTTTTTTTGGGAATAGGCCGATGTACGTTACCCGTTCGTCGAGCACGAGGGCTGGCATATACAACCCAATCCGCGCGTGCACGGGCCGGCCATATGCGCGACTCCAAGACCTGATGATACAACGCGCGCTAGGCGTCACGGGATGACGGGAGCAAGAGCAAGAGTACCTAAATACCTTTTCTATCCTTTTTTTTAAGATTAGAAAGAAAAACCTCTCCAGCAATGCATCCTCCCAATCTTTTGGCACTAGAAAAAAAAACTCCACATCCGCGTAAAGTTACGCGCACACTCCGTTGCGTGTATCCTTCTTTCCCATGCTTTCTCCTCCGTGGTGCGATAGTTTCTGGCACGATTCATCTTCTTCGTGCCAAAGCGCGCCGTCCAGGGGAGACTAGCGCACAAGCTGCTCGTGGGGGGCGGCCGACGACGCCACGGTGGTGAACGTCTCCTCTATCGCAGGGCTCATCGCGTACCCGGTGATGGCTGCGTACTCGGCGACCAAACGGCGGGATGCCCGACTGAACCAGCTCACGCGTAGCCTCGCTACCGAGTGGGCCGGCGACGGCGGGCGCGTCAACTGCGTCGCGCCGAGCAGCGTCCGCACAGACATCTCGAGCAACAACAGGCTGAAGTTGGACCCGGAGACGGAGGCGAGGACGGTGGAGGCGGAGACGACGCGGGTGCCCATCGACCGCCTCGATGAAAGCCCTAGTTTGGTTTTGGCTAATTGATGAAACATAAGTACTAACCTTTGTCACGAGTGTCATGTGAGCAAGGTTGGTACATACCAAGTGATGGAGCATGGTGATGAAGTCCATGGAGATGGAGATGGACATGTGTTGAAGATGATCAAGCTCCAACTTAAAAAGAAGAAAGAAAAAAACAAAAATAAGGTTGATCAAGGCAAATGTATCAAATAGGTTTTTATTTTTGGCACTCAAGACACCATAGAGGGTGTGACTGTATTTAGGATCTATAGCCGTATTATAAAGAGGAAAAATCTTTGGCTAAACGGTTTATCGAGTGTCACTAGGTGAAATAATTCGTACATATGTATTTAGGAACCTAGTGTGCTAACCTTGACCCTTGTAAAATACCTTGAAAAATACTAACACACGTGCACACAAGTTGTACACTTTGTGGCTAACAAGTTAGAAGTAAGGGTGAAGCGGTTGTGGACTTAGAAAAAAGAAAAAGAGGAGATGGTCCACGACCGGACACTGGCCGCGGGGTGACCGGACTCACCCTGGGCGTGTCCGGTCACTTATAGGCGTGGCGCGCTGCTTGGCTAAGACTGAGCAGAAGCGATCGGACGCTGGGGCCAAGTGCACCGGCGCGTTCGATCAACCTTTGGCGGGCATGCGCAGAGAAGAAGAGAGAGGATCAGACGCTGGGGCACGTCAGGTTGCCTCTGACCTGACGCGTTCGGTCATTAAAAACCGGCTCTGTACCCTTACTAGAAATGACCGAACGCCGCGTGTACGTGCGTCAGGTTGCATCAGCGGTGCGTCCGGTCATCTCTTGACTGCGCGAGCGATCGGAGATGACCGTTGAGATCGAGCGGCTCTAGTTCAAACAGGGACACGTGGACGGCCGTAGGCGATCGGACGCTGGGGCGCGTCCGGTCAATGCGTCCGGTCAGCCCGAGAGTGCACAACGGCTCTTTAAGTCTTGGGGCTCTATAAATAGAAAGGTACCGGCTTGGGGCTCACTCTCTTGGTACTTTTACATACTTGACATTCTTATGAGCCTAAGCAAACACCTCTCACTTATCTCCATAATTGAATCATCATCATAGTGAGAATGGGAGTGATTCCTAATGCATTTGCTTGAGTGATTGTATCCAGTGGCACTTGTGAATCGTTGTGGCTGTGGATTTCTTATTTCTCTTGGTGGTTGCCACCACCTAGACATCTTAGAGTAGCGGAGGGGCTTCGGCACGTGTTGGTGATTGTTCGTGGCCGACTCCGGTGATTGTGAGGGGTCTTGCGCCTTCCCCGGCGAAGAGCCGCAAGGTAGCTCTAGTAAATTGATCGTGTCATTGAGTTACCTCACTTGTGGGTATGTTCTTGCGGCGTCTTTTGTGGTGGGCTAGGTGTGTGATACCTATTAGCCGCCGAACCATCAAGTGTTGGTCGATACAACGAGGACTAGTGTGCCGGCAAGCACGTGAACCTCAGGAGAAAAATTGGTTGCCTCTTGCCCTTTGATATTCTCCCGGTGATTGAATTGGTATTCATCTTGTGATTGATTCATTCCTCGACGCGACGGTATAATCACCATACTTATTTTTGTACATTCCTTGTAAACTAATTGTCAAGCTCTGTAGTGTAATTAGTTTTGAAAGTTTGTCTTGCTTGCTAGTTTAGTATCATCTAGTGGAGCTCTTTAACATAGATTTGTTGAGAGCTCTTAGTGAGTAGTGACATGGTCATTGTTTGTGTCTAGTGATTATAGCAACTAAAATTATTGAATAGGTGGCTTGTAACCCTCGTAGAGCTAAAACAAAATTGTATTTCATCATTTAGTATACTAACCTCTTATTCTAGTGTATCTGTGAAAAATTTTATAAGCTATTCAACTCCTCAGCCATTTGGGATCTTTAACTCGGGAGCCCGAGGAGATCGCGTCCCTCATCGCTTTCCTCTGCATGCCCGCCGCGTCCTATGTCACTGGGCAGGTCATCTGCGCCAATGGTGGCCACCATAGCTACGTAGGTAGGCCTTGCTATATGCTAGCTGTACCTACGTGCTGAAGACTCCACGCACGGCGCTTCAGCTTCAGCAATTACTCTGCCTTGTATTGACGAAACTGCTCGTATAGAATTTCTCGTTGTACTTCCATAGTTCCTTTTCGTCGTGATTATTTTCAATTTATCATACGTCATATGCAGTGGCGGAGCTCATCAATTTTGAAGCGTAGGACCACTATCAAAACATGTGTACCACCCATATGGGGTCAAAGTACCGCTCACATGGGATCTAATATTGATAGATAATAAAACTAGCTCATAAATACATAATTTTAGATGATACTTGTTCCACTTTAAATCTACAACGTAATTGATGGAAATAAGAAAGTGACTAAAAACACGTAACTAATGTTTGTGCAATTGTCATACTAGCAGGAGAAAAAGGATTTTAATGTCTTGATCACTTCATTTTCACTGTGCAACTCTACAAAAAGTTTGGCGTAATCAATGGGCCATATTCAGCCATCAACTTGGCAAGGAATAGAGACCGGTACCAATAACTTAGATTTGAGAATGAGAATGGGAATTACCAATAGTCCAATACCAAGACTCAGCTGGTACTCTTCTCTTGCAAATTTGCAATTGGCAACTGCATGGAACAGAGGCAATTAGGCACAACAGACCGCCTGCTTGGCAGCCTGGTTGCGGCGTGCAAGCTGCTGCGTGCCCACGCAGCCAAAAGCGGAGCTGAGATGCTGGCCTATGCATGCCCCTGCCGCTGCCGGCACCGGCCACCGGTCGCCGCGCCCGCTTGGCCACTGCAGCTACACCGTGAGCCCTGCAGGGCGGAGGTCCGGCGGCGCCCAGCAGAGTTCGGAGTATGGAGAGTAGGAACGGGGTCGGGCCGTCGGGGAGTCAGACGGACGCCACGCTCGCGAATCACTAGATGCCGTGCCTCTCTGCTTTCTATGCTGGGCCAGAAAGCTACGGCATTCAGCCTAACTTCTAAACTTGGGCCAGACAAGCACATATACTATAAGAGAGTTTTGGGCCACGCCTAGGGCCATGGCCTTAGTTGCCATAGGCTCAAATCCGCCCCTGGTCCTATGTCACCGGGCGGTGGTGGCTGGAACGTGGCGGCGACCCTCAAGGAGGAGGCGGCGCAAAAACCTTTCGCGTGACTCCTTCTAAGTCGCGCGTAAAAAAGACCGAAAAAAATCACGTGGGACCAAAATTTGAGTTTTGGAAGTGATTTATTAGAAATTCTTGAAGATGGTCTTTTTTTTTTCTCCAGGTACTTTTTTGGGAGTTGGAAAGCATAACATTTTTTTAAGGAAAAATAGAGTATTCTTGGAGATGCTCGGGGTGTCCGTGAGTCGGGGAGCGAGCGTGGCTGTGTGGGCTTCGCCCCGCCGTGGCTGCAGCTGGGCCGCCCCAGGCTCGGTGCCTCGGTGGTCTCGCCCTCGTAGGCCTTTGCATTGCAGTATGCCTTGAGTTGGCCACCAATTTCCCGGGCCGGGACGCGTGCGCCGTGATCAAACCCAACTCCGCCTATTTGATTTCTAGATACCAAAAGTTCATGCGACTTACTAGCACCTGGACGTCTGGAGTAGATGAGCGCGTTTGGACGCCCCGCGCATGCTGCTATCCCAGCCCGCCTACCCACGCTAGCCGCTACTCCATATCGCTGCTGCACGCGCACGTCCGTCCCCCGTCTGCCTTGTCTCACACCCCACGCTTACCCTGCTCCCGCCTGCCTCGTCCCATCCGGCACAAGCACCCTGGCTGCGCCCGCCACTCCATCCCCCTGACCCCCTCCTCTCTCGACGCGGGACAAGGGAGCCCTGATGAGAATGAGCACGCTCCACCCGCAGGACCCTAGGCGCGCCGTGCGCCCCATTTGCTGGCCCCCGGATCACCGTGCCCTTCCCTGGTGGTGGAGCCGTGCTCCCATGACTCTCTGAACATGCCTCTGAAACACGAAACACTTGCAACATGAAACACTTGAATGCAACAAAGTCTAAAGCAAATTAAACATTTGGAACATACACTTGCAACATATGTGTGAAACATATACAACATCCAGATAAAACACTTACAACTTAAAAATACTTACTGCAACATAAGAATGAAACAACTGAAATATTTGAAACATACTCTTACAACATATATGTGAAACATATGCAACATCTAGATCAAAATGCTTGCAACATACGTCTAAAACAGATAAAACACTTTGAACAAATGCTTGCAACATGCCTCTAAAACACTTGCAGCATATGCATTATACTCTGGAAGACTAAAACATCTAAAACACTTGAAACATACGTCGCGCTTTTAGCGCAACGTCTCCTTGCTGCTTGGGAATGGAGGCTTGTCGGCATGTGGAGTTCACTGGTGTAGAGCTCACCGGTGGTGCGGAGCTCGCTGCTTCGATGGAGAAGGCCACGGCAGGTCCCATGGAGAAGGCTACGGCCTGCGGTAGGTCCATGTGCTGGAGAAGCCCACGGTAGGCGGGAGGCACGGTGGAGAGGGAGGAAGACGGGCTGCTGTGCTCTGTAGCGGAGGTGCGATGGAGAGCGAGGCGCACTGGAGAGCGCCGTCGCCGAGGCGGCACAGCGGAGCGTGGTCGCGGAGAGCTGTTGCGGCGCTACGATGTGGTGAGTTTTTTTCTTATTTTTTAGAACAGTTGAAGGTGAATGGATGAGCATAAGATACGGTTGTTAGGCTGCGTCGCGGTCCACCATCGATACCGTCCGGGCAGATGGATGCTATGTACCTAGCATTTCCATCGATCATAGATAAGGCTGGATAACGAGTTGGCTTGGCTTGTTACGGCTCGGCTCGTTCTGGCTCGTTAAGATAACGAGCTAGCTCGGCTCGGCTCGTTAACCTAACGAGCCAAAAAGCCAGCTCGGCTCGGCTCGTTAAAAGCTCGAGCTGGCTCGTTAAGCTCGCGAGCCAGGTATAAAAAATACACAAAATATAATATTTGCATTTATCTAAAGTTTAAGAATAATAATAATATAAAAAAAATGCATCTAGACCAGTTACCAATCAATTTATAGGGTCTAGACCAGTTACCAGTCAATTGTAAAGTGCAAGACATGAAGTAATACAAAAACTAATATAAGTTTTGATACTTTTTTTCTGAAAGATTGGCTTGTTTAGCTCGCGAGCGGCTCGCGAGCTAGCTCGAGTTGGTTCGTTATAGCTAACGAGCTAAAATCTTGGCTCGTTATGACAACGAGCTAAAATCTTGGCTCGTTATGATAACGAGCCGAGTTGAGCCAGCCACGAGCCGAGCGAGCTAACGAGCTTCGAGTTTTTCATCCAGCCTTAATCATAGAGTATATAAATGGTGCACTAGTAAGTACAACTCCAAGTTCGTCTAAAACTAATAGCCAAATTCTTTGTTTTAGCTATCGTGTAAAATAAAAAAGTCCTAAAAATGAGAACTCTACATGAACATAGCTATTTTGCCTCTTGTATATTTGAAAACATGCTATTTCTGATAGCGACAACAGAAATTAATGGCGGGAGGGGAGCACTGAACAAAAATTCATGAAGGAAAGAAGAATAGCGAGCTGCCCCGGCGTGCTATTTCTAGATAGTACGGGATACATAGCTTCTTATTTTAAATTAGTGGATACAATATCTGTTGGAGTCTCTTTTCCTTAAAAATATCTAAGTTTAGACTTAAGACAAATATACACCATCTCTTTGAGTTGCTTTAAGTGTATACAATAGAATGGGTAACAAATACTAGTACCCCATCTCGAAATATATAACAGTCGAATTTTCCGACACGAATGACACTCCAAAACATCTGTGTGGAAAGACAATTAGACAAGTAACACCGCTACAAATTACAATGGTACTCTATATACACGCCTTTGCTACTTGCCTACTCGTGCGGTTTCGACCTGTGAGTTTAGGACAGAGCCAGCGACGAGGACATGCTGCTGACGTAGTTGGGCGCCGGCGCCGAGAGCCGCCTCGCGCCCTTGAAGAACTCGCCGCACTGTCCCGCGCCCGCCGCCGAGGAGCGCGGCCTGATGAGCTCCGTTGCACTCGCACCGCCACTGCTGCTGCTGCTGGAGGCCCCGCTGCGCACGGACGGCGCGGAGGACGCGAACCTGCTCGCGTCGACCCGTTTCCGGTTCACGTTGCAGGGCTCGGCCGCCCTGCCGAAGCTGCTGCCGGGCCGCTTCAGGTGCGGCATCGCCTCCTTCTCGCTCAGCAGGGTGCGCAGCTTCTTGTGCTCCTGCGCCATGGAAATCAAAATCATTTTCAGGTTAATTTATTCAGAGTTCTTGTGAATCGACAGCGTGCTGTTCTTTTGCGTGCTCTGGCAGTCGCTGGTGCCAAACGACATATAATTGCAGTAATGTTTGTTTACCCTGAGTCGCCTCCTCTCCTCCTCCTGCCTGAGCCTGGCTTGCTTGTGCTCCTGCAAGACGGCAACCAAGCGAGCCTTCAAAACGGCAAGAAACAGACCAAATTCGTCAGTTGCTACGACCACTGAATCATGTCAGCACAACAGGAGCTGGAAAAGTAGCATACCCTGTCGTACAGGAACGGCTTCTTTCTTTCGCTCTCCCATGCGAGTGTTCCGACTGATCAGGTTGTCAACAACGGCTGCAGATTTACAAACAACGAATTGCTTTAAGCGAACTTCGTTCAGAGATGCAATCGTAATAATAACCAAGTAGTACTCCCTCCTTATCGCATTTGATCTTGTCCGAAATGTACCTGGGATCTTGGTGATGATAAGCCTTGCTTTCTCCGCGCGTTTCAAGTTGAGGCGCGCAATTCTGCCGGTACTGAATCTGTTCTCTTCCTGAAACACAGCAGTTCCCCTTGCCTTTATCTGTCTGTCGCATTTGAAATCAGTGTTCAATCTATTCAAATGTGCATTTTGGACCTACCATATTGTACTCCTCGAGCCATTTCTCTTCCTCGCACGCCAGCAGCCACTTGTTTATCTTCTCCATGATTTCTCTCCTGGACTGGAGCTCTTCCCTGGCTTTCGCTATCTGTTCGTCGATGCTGGCCATGAGCTCAGAAGGATTCACGAGACCTGGTAGATTTTGTCAGCGTTCGAAATATCAAGCTATCTGAACCTTATCTCAGTATAAGTACAGTAAACAGGGACTCTGAACTCGTCGTACCAGAGTCGATCAGTGCAATGGATTTCTCCGGCACGGTGCTCGCATCAGGCTCCACATGCATGCTACGGCAGATGTTCTCCAGCTCCGGCCGCCTCTTGAGCACGAGCTCCTTCATCCGGCCGGCCTTGATCGTCAACCTCTCCACCTCCTCCTCCGTCTGTGCCACGCCGATGAAACGACCAAAAGATCAAACACTGACTCTGCAACTGCAGCAATCGAGTCTGGTAACAAGAGGGATCACTGCTGTGTACCTTCTTTATGGTCGCCACTGACAAGACGCCGGAGGACAGAGCATCCACTTTGTCAGGATTCAGAACCGCAGTGACCTTCCTGAAACCCCGCCGCTCCTCCGACGAGTCCATCAGCTCCCACAGCTCCACCAGAGGCACCACGGCCTCTCGCAGCTGCAAGCAATGCAAAGCAGAACACCTCGATCGATTAGCTACAGGGATACAGGCTACATCCCATAGGAAGAAACAGGCAGGACTGCTGGTGGCAGTACGGTACGTACCATGGCTGCTCGCTTGGCCTTCTCGGAGGCGAGCATCGCGACGACCTGGGCGAGGCTGCTGAGCGTGCTGTCGCTGATGCTGGTGGGCATGCCGGGGTCGGACGTCTCGTCCAGGTGCAGCCCCGGGTGGGACCTCGTTCACGATCGCGATGAAGTCCTCGCCCAGCACGTCGCGCAGCGAGTGCACCTCGGTCACGTGCTCCAGGACCCTGTGGAGCCGGTCGGACTGCAAGTTCCACGACAGTTAACGCGTCGCTATCAGTTCGGATCGTCAGTGTCATGTTCCAAATCTGCTTTCTACGTCTACGTTGCAGGTGAAGGACGCATGCAGAGAGTTACAGTACGTACTACTGGTCCACTAGTGCTACATCACTGGAGTACACATCCTGGGGATGTGACGCACTGACATGCTACATCACTGGAGTACTCCTACTATGCTACTACCCCAGGAAAGCGTCTTCGAATTTGACTGACGAGCGACATGACCAAAAGAGGGTACGAGTACAACCTAAAACTGACTGACCTGTGACCTCCTACTCTAGCCTCTAGGCCCTGTTCGTTTAAACTTATTAGCCGGTTTATCAGCTAATCTATAATATTTTTCTCTCATAACAAAATAGCTTCAGTCGACTTATCAGCCGGCATTAATACCAGCTGAACAGGCCCCTAGTTGACAGGCCTGTCTTACCTAAGGTCAGAAGTGAGTGTTTCTTTCTATTAATCAGTGATTTATGTTAAGCAGTCACTGGATGAATATGTTAAAGGCCTTGTTTAAATCTCGGATGTAAAGTTTTAGGGTGTCACATCGGGTGTCATATGGGGGTATCGCGTGGGGTGTTCGGATACTAATAAAAAAACAAATTACAGAATCCGTCAGTAATCCTCTACACGAATTTATTAAGCCTAATTAATCCATCATTAGCACATGTGTTACCGTAGCACTACATTGTTAAATCATGGATTAGCTAGGCTTAAAAGATTCGTCTCGCAAATTAGTCGCAAACTGTGTAATTAGTTATTTTTTAATCTATATTTAATATTCTATGCATGTGTTAAATATTCGATAGGATAGAGAGTAAACTTTAGGGAAACTAAACCAGGCCAAAGTCAATTCTTATTTGTTCTCTGAAACTGTCCTTGTTGTTTCTCACATTCCTGTACGAGTTCAGAAGTTTCAGAAACAACCAGGAATGCGTCAGTTTAGTTACCGTACCTTCTCTTTCTGGAGACTCGTGAGGCGCGCCTTGTACTCATTCAGCCTCCTGATCGTCAGGTCATGCTCTTCCACCACCACGCTGGCCCTGGGGGAGCCCTCGTAGCCGCCGTAGCTCCTCCCGGCGATCTCAGCGGTGATCTTTTCGATTTCTGACCGGATGTCAGCGAACTGCCGGCTCCGCTCTGCTTTCACCGCCCTCAGTTCTTCCAGCAGGGTCGTCGCTGACGACACCCGCTCGGTCAACGACATGGTCCATTTGTTTACCTGAAGGACATCACGACGGCGTACCAGCCAATCGTTAGCTAAAATCAAGTTTTGTTTTAATTTTACAACGTGTGCAATAGATTATAGAACTACAGTGTTTCGGTCTTAACAAAAAAAAAACACTCTAAGAATATTCAGATTGCTGTGTGGAGTGGTTAGGTTTTGTACCGTATCAATGTCCAAAATCTGCACTTCATTATTTGTGTTTGCAGGAATAATACTCCACACTACTGTAGCTGTTCATTTAGTTTGACAACTGACAGTTGATTTGAACGGGTAAAGTATTTCCAAATACTACTAGTTCTAACAAAAGGTTTCCAAAATATGTAACTATTTCGCTGGTGATGTATGTACGAGTAGTATTTTGCATCCAAAATGTTGTGGGGAAAAGAAGTGATACCTTGAGCTGAGGGCTGTTGTCGTTGCAGAGCGCGGCGATCTCGGCCTCCCCGCGGCGAGCGACTGGTGCAGCATGGCCCGCTCGCCGGTGGCCTCGTCGACCTTGCGGCGGTACACGCGCATGCACTCGGCCTCCAGCTCCCCACCATCCGCTCCCGCTCCTCCAGGCTCTTCCCAATCTCCCCCCACGGTTGCTGTACGCAGCCAGAACCGACGACACCATCATCATCCACAAGCCTCAAGCCTCAGGCACGCAACAACAAACAAAAGGACGAAAGGATGGAACGCTGAAAGAGCTAGCACGTACGGCCACAGTAAACTAATAACTCACCTTGAGCTCCACGAGCAGCGCACCCCAGCCGCCGGTCTCGACGCCGCCGCCGCCGTCCCCGGTCACCGACCGGATCAGCGGCATGCCGTACAGCAGCTCCGCGGCGGTGACGGCCTCTCCCATGGATTAATTGACGTACGATCGAGAGCAATTCTGCGGCTGGGCAGCCTCGCGCGAACTAGCTATAGAGGGGTTTAAGACGGGGGTTGTTGCTGGTACGACAGAGCAGCTCGGAGAGGGAGACGTTGTATACGTCGTGTCAGGTTAGTTGGAGTCGGGTAGCGAAGGCATATATAGCGACCGAGCTAGCTAGCCGGCGGCGGGTCGTTGCCTTGCCTGCATGATTAGTTGGTCCCTCGCAAGTTGAGGTGTAACTAAACAAGGCGTTAGTGTACTGGGGCCTGCCGGCTTCGATGACGGAAAAGCACGCGTGTTCGCGTCTGATCAGAAAAACTTGGGCAAAGTCAGACCAAGTAGTATGCGTTGCCATCGCGAAACAAAGAGACAAACAGAGATGATGCATTGGGTTCCGTTGGTTCATCCATTTCTTTACATGTATGTATAGGCTGATTGATGAAATTCGCGTCCTCATGAGTCACGAGACGTCTTTTCTATATACACGTCCGGCCTAGCTAGCTGAAATACGTTGGGCCGTACTTTTCATGCATGGAGGAAACGCTGCCAATAATCAGCTAAGCTATCTAGCTACCAGAAAGGTTGCCATCAGAGCATTGCATTCATACATGCCTATATATGTTTTTAGATTATTAATTATGACGCGCCCATATACGTAGCTTGTGTTACTTTTGCATCTCTGATTGTTTGATTTGATAATAATTAGGCAGGCCCCGGCCTTCTCATTTCCGCGAAGAGCTGTTGGTCTTAATCTGCACGCTTTAGGTTAAGCAAGCAAATCGAGTAGAGCATCTCGTGAGGGTCAAACCACTACTAAAAATCGACCACACACCAGCATATGCCCTGATTGGGAGTTGGGGCAGCGTGTGTTCCCAAGCTTTTATCTGATTCAGAACATTGCCAGTGGTTGCAATTGCACTACTGGCCCGCAACTTGAATGATTTGGTCTTGCTGAGTGCCAAACCTTCATGCATCCTTGCTATCGCCAAATGTGCAAACAGATCCTTTTCTTTAATGTTCTTTGATTTGTCTGCAACGGCTCAATAGAGTGTGGGCTCTGCATATGACGCAAACATTCCAACAGTCCATATCATAGAACACCGAGGACTTTTAAATAAGCAAGCGAGTAAAGAGGCGTCATCAATCATCGACTAAAAAAGTAAAGGCATGGTGGGAAAACGACCTCTTAACAGGTTCATGAACAGGAAATTGATAGTCGGTGGGCATAAGGAACAGAAAGAGGAACCAGATTTCATTTAATTTTTTCTATAGATATTTCTGTAGTGAAAAGTTATAGCGCATGTTGTACTATCTTTAGAGTACATTATACTAGTGTTGGAGACTGCTGCTTCCTCAATCCTAGTTTGGAACACAAGAATTTTCAAAAATCGTGCAAAAATTTCATAGGAATCAGTTCAACTTTACACAAAAAACACAGAACAAGGAATTTGTTTCTACATTCCATACAGACATAACTCATGAGCCAATGAGAATTCATAGTAACTGGATTTGGGTGTTTGTGGGCAACAGAGGATGTCAGAATGGTCAATGAACCGTCAGTTCCTTCCCAGTGGATGTACTGATGAATTGCGCCATATTCCCTCAGCCAGGAGGTCCTTCTTGTGCCGGAATATTGGCCCTGTTTGGATACTCTCTCTCTCCATCACATTAATTTTTAGCTAGAGCATTAAATGTAGGTAAAAAAAGAGCTAATTACAGTTTTGAAAATCACGAGATGAATCTTTTGAGCCTAGTTGATCTCATCGATTGGACAATATTTGTCAAATAACTCTATTCATCGGGTTGAAAATATTTGAATCTAAACGTGGCCTTAGCTTAGATGCAAGGTTAGATTAACAATAAATATACTTTTCTAATTATTTGGCTCATGCAAGGGTTAGATTAACAATAAATATACTTTTCTAATCATTTGGCTCATTTAAACCATCTTTCCAACCGGATTTGGTGTCACAGGCTCTTGTTTGGCCTCCTCCCGCACACAAATGCTACAAATACATTATTTTTACAAATCAAACATCCAAATCACAATAAATTTTAATTTGTCCATACATATGAGATGTGTCACTCAAACTTACAAGTCCTCAATCAAGCTAAACAAAAAAATTACACTCCATGAAACAAAACATGAGCTAATTCATCACGGAAGGCAGTCATGTTGACATCTTCAACAAGAGGTTCATCTTCTGGCCATGCTGATGCCGAAGAACTAGGCATTGGGTTATAATTTTCATCCGCATCACAGGCATCAAATTCTCTATCCGCAATTATGCTCTCTCGAATAAAATTATGAAGAGCCATACACCACCGCCTGCCCCCGACGACGACCTGCCGGTGTAGCCGCCACCGTTTCCTCCTCCGCGACCGGCTGCTGCCGAGGAGGAACCGCCAAAGAGCAGTTGTCGGGCATGCTGGGGCGCCGGAGTCGCCCATGCGTCTCCTGCTCCGGCACGCGGTGGGCGATAGGGAGGGAGGCCGGAGCCCCTGCCGCGTCCAGGAAGGAGCTCGACGTCGTCACCCTGGAGGAAGTCTCCGTCTGTTGCACCAAGCCCCCGGAACCCCTCTGCCGCCGGGCGCTGCGAAGTTGAGGTCGAGACCGGCGGCGGGGCCGCCGGCCGGGCCGCGAGCTCCACAAGTCGTCGAATCCGTCTCCGTCCATGGCGAACTTCTCTAGATCAGAGCACAGCAGAGCGGGGCCGATCTGGAGGTACGGAGACGTGGCTCACTCTCACCTACGCAGCAAGTGGCCCGGTGGAGGCGACCTGCTGTGGCCGGAGCTTACGGCGGCGGCGGCCTTGGAGACGGAGGGGAAGGGCGCGGCGGGAGGGAGGGAGGCGGCGCGGGCAATCGAGATCCGCCTCCGGGGGCCGCCGGCGCTGCTCCTTTAGCGGATTGAAGCGGCGGCGGCGCGAGTCGCGATGGGGGAGGCGAGTCGCGAGGATCCGGTGCGGTGGAGTAATAAAAAAATAAGAGTTTCTAGTGGGCCCCACCAGAACTAGACCAAATAATCACCTCTTTTGGAGGATAGTTTTTTGGGTGAGCTAGTTGCAAATAATCCACTCTAGCCCTCCTATTTAGATACTTTTGGGCTAGTTGAGCTCAAACTAGCCCAAACTAGCTCTAGCCCTGTCATTATCCGTGTGTGCAATAACTCACGTTCGTCTCGCGTCAGAGCACGTGGATTCTAAGACGGCATCAACAGCTACTCTGGATGCAGGCATGCCGGACTGCTAGAACAGGAAGTGAACATGCCCGTTGCGTTGGTTACATGTGCCGACAAGACGTAAAGAGCAGAGGAGGGACCGTAACATTGACAACGAACAACCAAGTTTCTTAACGGCTTGCCAGCCGCCAACAAGGCAGGAAGGCCTTGCACAGAACACTTGGACACCGTAATGCGTGATTTAGCTCCATGCCATGCAGTTGGCTCGGTGGAGAAGAACGAACAAGTCAACAAGGGCGACGGATCCCCAACTCTCCAATGCGATAACTCGAACCTATTGTTCCGAGATCTCGTTCCGCTGGAACTGACAAAACCATTTGCCACTATGAGCAAAATGAAAGCGTTTTTTTGCGTTGCAATTGTTTTAAAAGAAAGCGCCAACTGTTCTTGAGAATTTCATATGGTTTCCTGTAACGGTTGTAATATATATATATATATATATATATATATATATATATATATATATATATATATATATATATATATATATATAATGTATAGTAAATCACTTAGTAAGGAGTTACTGTATATATAAATAAATTAGTATAGAATAACTTATTCTATAGCCACCTTGATTTATATATAATATTTATACCAATTTATGATAACATGAATATGCATTTACGATACTGATTGTGTTACTACAATTCACGGTGATATTTACGATAATGTTATAGTAAATCACTTAGTAAGGAGTTATCCAGTAATCTCGTAAATTAGCATAGGTAATTATCGTAACTCAAAGTGGCCACAAATAAGTTATTTTTTCATAACCAATAATATTTTTTTCTCACAATAAATCGAAATATATATATGGCAGTTGGTAGAGGATTATAGGCAACGACGCAACGTATATAGTATAGTATATGGTGTACTAGGCAAGATACAAGGGATTGTGTCTTCCTCCCATATCCTACACGCGCCCTATTGTCAGGTGTATTGTGCCTAATGAAGTCACGACAACCTAGCTAGCCAATCATGGACGCGCTGATAACGAGACGGTAGATGCAGGCGTTATCCAGATTGGAATTGGATGCGCACAGGCCAAACCAGCAGGCAGCAGCCTTGCCTGTACTTTACTTTGGGCCGGCCCGGCCAGAAACGATCGCCTGTTCGGCTTATAAGCCGTATTTTTTCAACCAACGAACAATATTTTTCTCTCATAATAAATCAGCCAACAATATTTTCAGTTATGGCTTATCAGTCAAGCGAACATGACAAATAATGCATGGCACCAGCCATCTTTCTTCCCAACCTCTCTTCTGTGTCACACTTTTCTCTGGCCATTATCCCCTTTACAGTGATCCTAATTTAATTCTAAAAAGAATGGACGAGCGGCCCTGGATTACCGTAATGCGCTCTGAACCTCTGATCCCTTGTTTGCATTGTATCGTATGATTGTATGCTTTATCTAAAAGTACGGGCTTTAGTTAGACCTAATAAAGGTTAGTTCGTCGCAACTTTGTTGAGCACCCAATAATTGACATGATAGTATAAGGTGGAGAATTGAAACAATTCTAAATTCCTACCAGAATTGGACGCTGTAGCAGGTTCGACCAAAAAACTATAGTATTTCTGGTCTGGTTTTCGAATGGAGCAAGCGATATGTTTGTTAATTCAAAAATCTTTGGAGCCCAGGATGGGCGCACCATCCATCTTGTTCAACTTCAACCATCTAGCATAATGCATAAATAAATAATAAAAGCACCTATAATCTTGTACCTTGTACCTTGTAATTCCCTTAAATTTGACTAATATCCAGATGGAGTACAGTAGCACCATGGTTGTAGGCAGCTTTGCAGATATTGAAAAAAATAAACAACCAATCACATTGTGAATTACTGATAGACATGCGTTCAGGAAAGGACCCCACAGGGATGATTAAGAACAGTTACAATCCTTGCAGAAGTTATATTCATACACAGCAGCATGTCTTTCTTCAGGTTTTAGGGGATAAACCCAAGTTGTAGTTCAATGCAGCATATGTTAAATTATAATGCAATCATATTCATGTGGTAGCATACTATATAAGCCAATCAGTTCCCATCTGTCAAGAACAATTAGTGGTTAAGCAATGCGCTATAAATTAGGCAATAAGCTAGCAAGTTTGTTATAGGCCAATCGCTGCAGTGTTAGATTCTATGAGAGACGCTCACGGGCACGTGTGCAGCAAGGTGTGATGTGTATCTTGCTGCCAGAGGAGGACACTAGAGCTTTTCCCCCCTCGAACAGGCACAAGAATTGCGTATCATTTCATTAATAATAGGTGGAAAAAGAACCCGCTTACACGCAGGAAGACATTGAAATTTTACGGTACCTTTTCAAACATTATTTAACAAAACTAACATATTTCTCTGCGTTCAAATATTTATTCATCTAAATTGGGTCTGACAAGTCTTGTAATTGGAGCATCATTATCATGTACAACATTACCATGAAATTTTGTATGCCAATGCCAGGTGGGGATATAAACAGGTAAACACCACACAACTGGGGCTAATGAAACAGTAGACAGCAGTCACAAGGGAAAGGAAAAGACTGGCCCGTATAGGTGCGAAATTTGGTAGACAAAGACAAGTGAAGCAGAAAACCTGAAACAGAGCTATGGTTCCGAATGGCACCACATGTTCTTCAACGAAAGGGCTGCAGCCCTGTACCAAGCAGCAGCAGCCATGGCCCCAGGATCAGGAGCCGATGCCAGCTTGTCAGCAGCAATGTAGGATGATCTACCAGCCTGAAATATGATTTTACGAATGGCACGACGTGTTCTTCAACGAAAGGGCTGCAGCCCTGTACCAAGCAGCAGCAGCCATGGCCCCAGGATCAGGAGCCGATGCCAGCTTGTCAGCAGCAATGTAGGATGATCTACCAGCCTGAAATATGATTTTACGCCGTCAGTGCAACAAGCCCATTGGGTACTTCTGTCAGTCAGTCACTCAGTCAGTCTGTACCACATGTCATATGGAAAAAAGATTACAGGTTCAATTTAATAATCCAGTAGATGGTTTGATTTTCACTGCCACAACACTATGATCTAGCATGCTATATTTCTACAATAAAGCGCTATAAAGTATAAACTACTACTTCTGATTCCAAATGTAGGTTGTTTTAGGTATGTTGTAAGTCAAACATTACCTTTGAGGCTTTGACCACCAATAGCTAAAAAACTAAAAAGATTTACAGCATAAGGTTGATACTAGATTGATGAAAAGTATTTTCATAATATATAATTATCTATATTTGAAATATTATATTTTTTGTAGAAATTGTTTGTCAAAGTTTAACCTCTTAGATTGTGTCGCACATAAACAGAAGAAGTTCAAGCTATATTTATCATCTTATCACAACTGAATGGTGAAAGATGAATGCAAATCTGGTAAATATGCTTGATTTTATTTTTCAGGAAATGAGGCCTCTAAAGGTAAAAAATGCATAACAATACATTTCTGCTTTTTTAACAGAAAGTTCTCAACATGAAAAATATCTCACCTGGGCCTGCATGTGTCTTGTGGATTCAGCACCAGTCAAAGCAGCTTCAGATGATACGATGAATGCATCAAGTGGATCATCCCCAGCTTCAAGCCTCTACACAATAAGAAAGGCTTCATGGTCAGTGCTGATACTAGCCAACAAATAAAATTGCTAGACAGTAACAACCCACCTCTCTCAGAACTTTTGAAGCAGGAATCAGAGCATCAAGCATGGTTCGATAGCCTTCAAGAGCACCACCATATTTGCTTATGGCACCGATAGATGATTGTAAAGCATGAGCCCCTAGAAGTAAAACATCCCCTTGTATGACTTATATGGGATATGGAAGAGAATCAGCAAGTATATGAGATCTTGCTTACAGTGCTTTGCTTCTACTGTTTTTGTCCCCTTTAAACTTGCATAGGCAGCCTTACAGAGTATGTCGTACCTATATAAAACCAAGATAGTTATGGTAGACTTTTCTAATTGCAAAAGGAACCAAATTCAGGAGAGTGGCCATACAAGATCCCAGTTGTTCCTCCCATGACTCGTCTTACTGTGGCACCAATCTCATTTACTGTTTCAGACACATCATTCATTGGGTAGCTGAGAAGAAGGATACTATGAGTCTATGGTTAAACACAAGCCCAGAGATGTATGCATGGTCACATTACAAAATGAAATCATAAAAAAGTTAAATCATTGCAATAAACATTACTGATACATAAAAAAGGGCAGACCCAGTGCCGGAGGCTCCCACATGAGTGGGGTCTGGGGAAGGGATAAACCGAGACAAGCCTTTTCCCCACAAAATCTGCGGAGAGGTTGCTTCGAACCCACGACCTGGTGACTCAGTGAGACAGCTCTCACCACTGCACCAGGCCTGCCCTTCTTACCATAGGTACTGACACATGAATCACAAAATGTAATACGGTTGTTGCTATCAAGTAATCGAGTGTCCAAAGCAATTATCCAGTCAGCGTGTCAGCCATAAGTAAGTCCATGATAAAGGTTTACCAGTATAACATAAGTGGTTGGCATGTAAAACTGATTTCTGTTTTTTTCCAAACCATTACCATTTTTTCATGTCCTCAAGTATAGCAATTGCCCCCCTATACATCTGAAAAGATAAGAAAAAGGGTTACATTATACAGGCTATGGGGTTATAACTAGGAAATAGCATAAAGTAGTCCTAGCTTGTTTGACTCACTGTTGTCCCACAGTCACCATCACCTACTTTACTGTCCCATTCATTTAAGCTATCCTTTATCCTGATTATTTCTTTAGCACCTGCTTCAATGGAAGCCTCTAAAATGCAGCCCTGTTTCGTCAGCTCTCGACTTCGTTGAAGCATCTGTAAGGCAACAGAATATGAGCATAAGTATGAAATCAACTTAAAACACAAGTTCTGTATTTTATAATTTTATGTCAACAAATTCACTTTTATTTGTTGCAAATCTGCATTGCAGTTTTGATGCACCTCATTCCACTACCATTCTGGTGGGAAAAAATAGGTAATGTTATCATCGAGTTGTTATTTAAGCACAAAATAATATTCCTCTTATCCTATTTGCATTAGATTAGGTGTGCTACAGTGATCCCATCCATCATACTAACTGTGCATGTTCTCTTGTTGTCTTGTTACTGATAGGCTTAGAAGTGGGTGGCGCTAGCAAAAAACAGAAGCAACTAGAACTAGGAACATGATAGCAGATTGGAACCTACTGGTTGCTTGAGGACATCAAGTGCATTGCTACCTTATCTGAATGTAGAAGAGTTGACAATAAAATCATGTTCTTGAAAAGATCATCCATGCAAGCTCAGCAGAGGCAGTATTTCAATAGTGAATATAGTAGTAAGGAAGTATACAAATCTATGGAGGAAAGGAAAAAAAATAGACTTCCTTTCAGAGAAAATAGCAAAGCCAGTGTGATCACTATGTAAATCCTACCTTATCACTCTTCATTGCACATGATGGTGGTGCAGGAACAGCAATTTTTGCAGGTTTTTGCCAATCTCCTGAAGATTAAGTAGCGTTTATCTTTAAGGGTCAATACTTTCTTGAGTATGCATATAGGAAAGAAATATATATAAGTGAAGCTTGGAACAATGCTTCTTTCATTAATGTAACATGAGAAGTGATCTAACTGAGTAACCATTCACCAATTCAAAATCTGGACTAGAGAAGAAGTCTTTTTTTCCTTTTAGAAAAAAAAGAGATATGACTTAATAGACATTCAAAGATGCATTTCAGAGGACATAGTAAATTCCTTTTGTTTCAATTTATGCTTCAAAACAATCCAAATAATTTTGATGCAATTTAAAAAAAATGCCTTCCATTTATCAAGTTAAAGTCAAGTAGCAGAAATTAGAAGCTTAAATATTACGTTTCTTTCATGTGTATCTTTTGTATTGTTTATATTAATAGCTGCAACACTTTCAACATGCAAAAGTTATGATGGTAACAGATATCAAAACAATATACTTATTTCGCGGGTCATCCAGAAGAGGCATGAAGAACGCAAGCAATCCAAATCACCTTAGACATGTTAAATCAAGAAAACGAATTTCCATAACTAAGAGCAACACTTCTGTTTGTAAATTATGATCCACACTGAAAGCTGAAACAGGAGGCCAAGCTTTTTCTCGAACACGCAGGAAACAGGAGGCCAAGTTCTCATGCTAAATAAAGTCACTATCTAAGCAAACTTATTACCATCGGTTCCAGCTGGCCAACAAGGAGCTTTAGTAGACGCATCTAGGCACTTCAAAATTGTTGTGTCTGACTTCATGAGGGATATTGAGAACCCTACAGAAAATGACGTATACTGAGAATCCTACCAAAAGGTGTTTAGTCATTCCATGCTATCCTAATCCTCAAGCAGACTGCTGTTCTTTTTCATACTTCAAACATATTGAAAAAACATATATGCTACCTTGCATGTCAAGTGAAGTCATAAAAGATCCAGTGTAGACTCTGTCAGTAGCAATATCATGCTCCAGTTGCAACTCACGCACAGTCTTTCTAGTGGCAATCATCAACTCCATGATAGGAGTAGCACCTAATCTGTAAATTAAATGGAATCATAGATGCATGTTGCACTCATTTACATAATCCATTGACTCAAGGGAATGCTTGAAACGGTTGGAAGCAACAGTATGATGCATATGGAACAATCAAACAAACTCAGACCCTCATTTGAAGAAAGAATAGCAAATGCTTGCTCTGTTCCAAATTGTAGGTCATTTTTGTTTTGCCCTAAGTCAAACTTATTTAACTTCAACAAGTTTATAGAAAAATATATGAACATCTACCATACAAAATAAATGCTCTATCAAGACATATTTCATGGTAAGTTAAAAAAAAAAGATGTATTTCATGCCTCGCTTCGTAGTACTCGTAAAGGAGCTTGCTTTGCTATCATGCCGATTATGGGGTGGATCTATGGAACTAATTTGATGGTGTAGATGCTGTTGTATTTTCCTATAAATTTGGTCGAAGTTACAGAAGTTTGACTGAGGACAAAACCAAAATGACCAACAATTCGAAATGGAGGGAGTAGGTAGCATTGCTAGACTTCATATTACAACTCACACCAATTCAAGATCAGAGTGATGCATAAATTGTGGATCAGAGTGATGCATAAATTGTGTTGACGTAAAGCAGAATTTTATTTGAAGTCCTTTTCGTAGAAGATCTTATGTTTTCTGCATGACATTTCTACAGCCGGTTATCGATCTTCATCTCCAAACAAAAGTTTGCTAAAGAAGCATAAGTGTATCTTTATCTGCACATCTTATGCCAATGCTACTATAAGAAAGTCAAGGGCATCAAGGTCCAGCCCCAGAATAGATGGGCCAAAGACCAAGTTGTGTCCTATTGCTCAAGACACAGTGTCGATCTAGTCAAACATGATGTTCTTACAGAAGAATGTTTTAGCTGAATGATTTAATCATATTCTATGATTTGCATAGTACTCAAATTTATTGCTTCCAGTCTGAAGAAAGTAAAGTATTTACTAATCCTATATACTAAGTTGACAATTTTACTAAGGAGATGCAACAAAACAACATTTAATAGTGGTATACCCATTAGTAAGGAGAATGACCCTGTCGCCTCTTGTAATAGGAACATACTGAGTTTCCTGTCAGAGTGGGCAGAAGTACATTTTAACAACGCATTTAGTAGTTCTAAGTTCTAACAGCCAGTTGAACTAAAATTTTAAAAGATAAATTAACTAATAACATGAAATATCTACCATTACTTTTTTAAGTGTTAAGTCATCACTCATCAGTTTAGCTAGGACTAGTAAAACAATGTCTGTAAATAGGTGCAGCGGAAGAGATTAGGTGACACGAAGAATTGAATGATCACAGAAGGCTGGACTGGACTGGAAGAGAAATGATTTTTCTTGACTAAATCAAGAACGTAATATAGATGGGTAATAGCACAAAAATACGACAAGTTCCTTCTCAAGATCTGGCTCAGGAATTAACTGGAGCAGTTATCAACTGTCAGTGCAATTCCATTGAAGTGCTTTTTTAATGCATTTCGATCAAGAATACAGTCTGTGATATATACATGCATCAGTAAGTGAATGAATGAACCATATACAAATCACTTGATTTGAAGCACTAATTATATTAAACTAAAACTGGTGTTCCATATATTGTTTCTTCAAAATTTACATGATGAAAGAAACTGCAAGGTTAGCAGAATCAGGAAGACAAGTGGCAAAAGAGCTAGTATACCGGTGACAAGATCTGCTTAAGAACATGAGTCACCACTGCGTCAACAGGCTGAAGTTCAATGACAGCAGCACCAGGCTCTCCGTGCTAGAAACACAAAAGTACTATAGAATTAGAAAGTTAAAAGTACATGCAAATGCTTTAAACTGTAGGACAATAATAAGCCTTCTGTTTACTTAGAAATTTGAATAAATGGAAAATATTATGACAGTACATAATCTCCAAGTATATAAATACTTAAATACAGCTCTAAAGACTGAATCCTTCAACTTGTGACCTTACAGAAAAATATGTTGAAGTAAACTTACAATTCCAAGGCCAAGCTCCATTTGATGTGGACCTAAACGATCTGAGGTCCCCTGACCAGGCAGTGTACACACTGACAGAGCAACTCCCATTGTACCAACCAACTTAGATGCATGCCTTGCTTGTTCAGCTACCTCTTCAAGGGGCAAACCAGCAGCAGCAGCAGCTCCAGCAACCTGTGAACCAGATAGGCCAATATTACCCTTAATGAATCCAGGCAAACTTGTGAGAAATATTTCTCTCGGATGACGAGAAAAAACAAGGGAGAGGACATAAGACCTATTCCCGATACACCCAACTCACACACCCACACCTAAAAACACTTACATACATGCCACGAGAAAAATACAAACAGCCACGACCAAATGCTTGTGAGGAATCAATAGTTAACATCCCAATAATAAATAGTTGCAGAACAACAATGACAAAGCCTTAATTTGGTTTCAGAACAAGATCAAACGAAAACATAAAAAAGAGTTGTTCACAAGAATCACAACGATGTGCACTGTAGCAGAAGATATATTTTGATCCATTTAGAACAGAAAGAAATCCAAGCAACTTAAGTTACAGTTAGGGATGAAACTGGATCAGAGATACTGAATACGGGTAGTATTTCTTTTCTGGGATTGGAGACGAATACAGATAGTGTCAGATGCATCGGACATTGATATCTATGACATATATGTATCAGAAATCCAACTTTGAGTATTCAAATACAGATACGGTAGGAATATTAAATGTACGGATTCATAAACAGATTATCCAAGTAGGGCTTTAACCCTTTCAGGACAGACGGATATCGGGAAATATCCGTCCCATGTTCATCCCTAGTTACAGTGCACTGTAACAGAAGATATATTTCAAACCACAACGACGAGCACTTGTCGCTCACTGATCTAGCATAAAAAAATCTGTATCTTCATGGCTTGACCAAAGTGATGAGTGATGGCCAAGCATCCAAATGACAGAATATGTAGCAAGCAGACAAGATAGCTATCTCAATGCAATGATCTAGATACAAAAATAAGCAGGGAGTGCCACTATATTCTGCACTAAGAAAATTAATAGACAAATCGCATCATCAACAACAAATGCCTCTACTTGAATGTTTGTATAACACACATCAGAGACAACCTTCATTTCGATTATTTACAGGTAAATCAGAGAAGGCTCGATAGAAATCAAAGAAGAGAAGAAATGAAAATAATGGACCCACTATTTAACTGTTCAGCAATGAGAAAATGCCATACAACGAAAATAGGAGAGTGAATTAATGAATTACCTTATTCACAAGAATTGTCCCTGCAAGGCCTCTCCTGCCAGCTATGCCTTGAGTTGGTGGCAGAGCACAATCATCCCCAACGATAACCATCTGATGTTGTTGCAGGTACATATGAAAATGCATTCACCAGGTTTATCTAAAAACCAGTTTTATACAAATCAATATTTACAAGGCATAGAACATGTGCAACCTCCACTTTGTAGCCTTCAGATTTTGCTTCCTCAGCTGCTAGGCCAAAATTAAGCCGGTCGCCTGTGTAATTCTGTATTTAAGAAGGGTGATTCCATACTTAGTTTTAATGCACTAAGTAAGAGCTGCAGCACTCCACCAGCAAAAAAATCACAGGTGCCTTAACTGACATAGTCCTGTGGGTGTTCCTACTAAAGTCCCCCATCATCATTTAACATAAATTTGTGAAACTTGAAAAGGTTGTAAAGGCAAGTACCGTTACTACTAGAAGACAGCCCTTAGGACCTGTTACGGCTCGAATAGCCTGCAGCAGTAAAACACAGCATGAAAGCTTTGAAACCCATGCAACTTAAGTTCTTCATAAGTATTTTGTGAAGGAGCATACAGCCAAAATAGAGTTAACAGGTGGAGAAGTGAAAACATCTCCAGAAACAGCAGCAGTCAGCATTCCTTGACCCACAAACCCACCATGAGCTGGTTCGTGACCACTTCCACCTCCTGTGTACAAAAGACAAGTTAAACGATCCCATACTAGTTAATCATGTTTAGCTCGCAGATAACTGAAGTGTTGCCATTAAACTTGTTCGACATTTTACTCAAAAACTGAAATTAAAAGGGTCCCAAATGAAATTAAAGCCCATAAAAATTGCCAGGAAGCATAATTACCGCATATGACTGCAACCTTATCATAGGTCCCGACCTCGACATCGGAGCGGAGGACCACCTTGACCTGCATAGGGCACACACGAGTGCAAAATTAATCGCACAAACGACAAAACTTTTGGGGCGCAAGCAGCGGCCGGCGGAATCGAGTCGCCTCACCTCGGGGAACCCATCCAGGTACTGCAACCCAGGGTACGTCTCCACTAAGCCCTCGATAAATTGCGTGACCACATCTGCGCCCTAAAACCCATCAGGCTCCCCAGAATATCGCGGGGACCATCGAAACAGCCCGAGAATTCCAAGCGTACGAGTGGAAGCTGCAACATCGTACCTTTGGGATCGTTAATGAGCTTCTTACCACAGGCCGCCATGGGTGCCCGGAAGCGCAGGCGCGTTGCGGGGCACGATGCTTTTTTGGTGTTCACCGGAGAATTTTTTTTTAATTTTAACCTTTTTTAATTTAATTTTAAATCTAACACTGTCGGTTTTTTATTTTAACACTAACACTTTTGGCCGCGCCTATTGTACTGGCGCGGTCAAATGCCTGTGCCGCGTCATGCATGATGACGCGGCAGAGGGCTGACGTGGCGACGACCGAAATCGCCGACCGTTGACGTGGCTAGGCCTGCCGCGCCACCAATTTTGACGAGGCAGTGACGCGCCACAGCTGATTGGCGCGGCAAGGACGGGATTAATTCACCGGCCAGACGCCGCGACCGCAGAGCACTGCTGCCTGCCAACGTGTTGTGTGTGCTGCCACCACGTGATCGCGGAAACCTGGGCCTGCTAAGATGCGTCCTACGGAGGGGGTGTGCACATGCTTCTGACCGCACGACGTAGCTCTAGCGTGTAGCAGTGCTGTGAGTGTCCGACAACAGCAACGCCCATGCTTTAGGCCTTGTTTGGTTACTATAGAATATCCTAAAATTTCTGTCATATCAAATGTTTGACACATGTATAGAGTATTAAATATAGACTAATTATGAAACTAATTGCACAACTTGGGACTAATTTGTGAATCTTTTAAGCCTAATTAGTTCATGATTTAACAATGTCGTGCTACAGAAAATATGTGCTAATGACAGATTAATTAGACTTAAAAATTCATCACGGAAATTAGTCTCCATCTATGTAATTGGTTTTATAATTAATCTATATTTAATGCTCCTTATTAGCATCTAAACATTCGATGTGACATGAATTTTAGCAGCAACTAAAGAACCAAACACCCCCTTGATTCAAAAGCTTTGTCTACCACTTTGTCTCGGTATCCGTGCGTATCCCCCACTGCTTTGCATTGATGCCATATCTCCTGGGGGCAGCAGGAAAGTAGCGAAACACTGTGCCCATGCTCATGCCCTGCACAACTATGATTATAGTACTTTTTTGTTTGATCACAATCTGGTACTGGTATATTAATCCTAACGAGGCTTTGGAAGAAAATAGGTGGTGCCATCACGACCACTGTTGCTGCCATCATCGGCTTGTCAGTTGGCACGTTGTACATGCTCAGTTATGCTTCCCTTCGCTACTAGAGGCGAGCTAGGTGGTGTTTGAATCCGGTGACTAAAATTTAGGAGGTGTGTCGAGAGAATGTTGCATGGTGTGTTCGGATACTAATAAAAAAATAAATTACATAATCTGTCACTACTCCAAAAGATAAATTTTTAAGCCTAATTAATCCGTCATTAGCACAGGTTTATTATAGCACCGCATTGTCAAATCATGGACTAATTAGGCTTAAAAGATTCGTCTCGTAAATTAGTCACAAACTATGCAATTGATTTCGTAATTAGTCTATATTTAATATTCCATGCATGTGTCCTAACATTCGATGGGACAGCGACTAAAATTTAGGAAGGGTAACCAAACACCACCCTACTCCACCGGTGCTTTGCTTGCTTGGGCTGTGCATGTCCAGTCCAGGCCGTACTAGCTACAGAGAGGTACAACCATCAGGAGCCTGCCACTTGCACAGCCGCTCACGAGAGCACACTCGACGCACAACACACCAGCAGCGGCAGCCTTTGACTCAACAGCTATGCATACAACGTGTGAGCAGTGACATAATGCGCCGAACAGTGTCCCTGGCACCGTCGCTCTGCATTGTTGCAAAGAGAATGCATAAATTAATTTACACTATATAGCTTGCTCACCTGCTCTTGACGTTTTACGCTGTACAGAAAGCATAAATTAATTTTTTATTAAGATTTATAATACCAACTACCAAATAACTATATTAGATCTATCATTTTTTGAGCTAGACATTCTAAAAGTAATCTGGAATTAATCAATGGCCTCTTGCTACCTCTTGAGAAACAAACGTGGGGGCCCAGGTTTTCGTGATCACGTGGTGGCAGCACACGCTGCACGTTGGCAGGCAGCAGTGCTCTCGTCGCCACGTCATCCGTCCGACGAATTAATCCTCGTCCTTGATGCACCATCAGCTGTGGCGCGTCACTGGCGCGCCAAGATCGGTGGTGCGATAGGCCCAGCCACGTCAGCGGTCAGCGATTCCGATCGTCGCCACGTCAGCCCTCTGCCGCGCCACCATGCATGGCGCGGCACAGGCATTTGGCGCGCCCAGGGCAATAGACGCGGCCAAAAATATTAGTTTTAAAATAAAAAACCGATAGTGTTAGATTTAAAATTAAATTAAAAAAGGGTTAAAATTAAAAAAAAATCTCACCGGAGGGGAAGTGGAGTGGCGCTTGATGTCACTGTCAAGTGTCATCGGTGTCGCCGCGACTACAATGGTTGTGGGTTTTGGTTTGGACGTGCTTGTGTGATTACAACGCTGCCCCTATGGTGGCATTTTGTTCTCTTCTTCCCGCGAATGTGTCTAACGAAACTAATACACTTTGGCTTAGAACTATTATTTCTCACGAGTTGTTCTATCTGGTATAAACTACTGACATGTTTCAAATCATATTCGACACATGGAGGGCATTGTTCTATTTCATATAAACAACTGTCATGGTTCCAAATCATATTCGACACATGGACGGCCTAATGACATTTGAGAAGTAACAAAAAAAAATATAGATGAAAAAATCACTTCCATCCTTTAATACTCCCTTCGTAAAAAAATCAATCATGGGATCCGTGCCGGACAACTTAATTTAATTTTGACTAAGTTTATAATAAATAATATTAGCATTTATGTCTTAAAATAAATTCATGATGAAAATATATTTTATAACTAATCCAATTATACTTATTTTGTATAAAAATGATAGTACTTTTTATATAGCTTCAGTCAAAGTTTAAATAGGTTGACTCATCGATAAGTGAGAATTGTATTCTTTTGTGGACGGATGGAGTATTAGATATAATCATATAGATATATTATCCTCCATCTTAGAATAGATCAATTTATAAAGTTGCCTGATTGTTTTATACTATAAAAATATATTTCATGATTGATCTAATGATATATTATATATGGTGTAGTGTTTTTCTTAATCAAATTTAAAATAGTTTGACTTAGGATAGCTAATAGCTTTAAGAGTTTTTTTTTTACTTAGAGTTGGTTAGTTTTGGGATAGAGGAAGTAATAATACACATGCAGATGCTCACTAAACGCAAGGACAATCAAGCTTACGTGTCCATATAAATGCAAAACTTTTACTAGTCTAGCTCGGCGACTACAAGTGATGAGCACTCGTGCTAAATTAGAGATTTCCGAACCCGAATTACCAAGTTTCACCAAGGAACCTAATGACTCAGTTCCTTTTCTTTTCTTTTTAATAGACATCTCTCCATTTTTTGCGTTTTATTTACGGACTACCAAAGTGCGGAACCACAAAGCAATTCGATTTCATGTATACAAAGGCAAGTACGGTTAACAAGTTTTCAGCAATACAATCGGGTCATGATCTGCCACACCTCGATAAATAGCCGTTTTAGGTTGGGCTATACTAGCGCCCGGTCGTCCGCACACCCGCGCATGCTGCTGCGCTTGATGCGTCCCGCGCCTCCTCTTGCTTTATTTTTTTTTGAAACACGTGCCTCCTCCTCCTGCTCCTCCCCATATGTCGGGTATCAGTATTAGGGATATCTGAAAGAAAAAAGTTGATGGCCACGAATGCTAACTAGTTTGGATGGTTAAGAACGTATTTTGGTCTCGCCCGACTCCGAGGGCGCAGGCTCCGTGTCGTCCGACCCTAAGGGTGCGGGCTCCGTCACGCCTGACCCCTAGGGCGCGGGCTCCGTCTCGCCAGACCCATCGAAGGGGGATTTCGCCTTGCCTCGGGGTCCGTATCACCTCCAACCACTATAGGTCTAAGAGTATGAACCCAGGATCAAACTTTTGACACCAGAAATGGGAGTAGGCGCGTCTTGACGTGACTCGCGGCCATGACGGACCATACCTGAGTGTGACATCCGGCCCAGTTTGGAATTTGGCCCATAGTGGCCCATATGTAAGTTAATGAGATATTGTGTAGAGTTTTAGTCCCATCTTGCTTGTTAAAGGTGGGATAGACCAACATATAAGACTTCTAGTGTCCATCCCATCATCCCCGGGTTAATCCTTTTACACGAAGCGAGGATGAAAGCGTAAGTGGGATGGTGGTAGATGTGGTTCGCTCAGCGTGCAGAGTGGATCTGAGCCGTTTGGACTCTAGGGCGTTACAAATGGTATCAGAGCCGACCTTCGCGCCACAAAGTCGCACATGGGGTTCATGGGGTTCATTATGTGTAGACCTGCGGGGTGCACGGCATGGCATGGCACATGTGTTGCAAGATCGGGCGCCGCATTGCGTGTGCTAAGAAGGAACGTTCCTGGTCATCGTTTGCCCGGTTGTGGGTGTGTTGGGCCGACGAGGACGTCGATTCCTTTGAGGGGGGTGTATGTGACATCCGGCCTAGTTTAGAATTTAGCCCATAATGGCCCATATGCAAGTTAATGAGATATTGTGTAGAGTTTTAGTTCCACCTTGCTTGTTAAAGGTGGATAGACCAACATATAAGGCTTCTAGAGTCCATCCCACCATCCCCAGGTTAATCCTTTTACGCGAAGCGAGGACGAAAGCGTAAGTGGGATGGTGGTAGGTATGGTTCGCTCAGCGTGCAGAGTGAATCTGAGCCATTTGGACTCTAGGGCGTTACACTGAGGACTCACGTCACCAACAGTGTCGGGCGTGCCGACGCTATGCTACATAATCCCCGTACGACTTCCAATGGGGGTATCTGCTAACCATGCCGCCCGCCGGGACGAAATGGAGCGCCACGACCGGCTGACAACGCCCGCGTATAGCGCCAGTGATGAACAGTGTCGCGACGTATAGTCGTCCCCATCATCATCTACAGGATTAGCGGGACCCGCGTAAAGGAGATGAAGGGCGCCGCGACCCCGGAGGCCTTCTTC